AGACACCGTATCCTCCCTGTGCTCCTGCTTAGCTGGCTCCTGTCCCTGGTTGCGTTCTAGCAGGCTGTGCTGTCCCAGAGCTGTGTGTCATACTCTTGACACTCCTGGGTGGTAGTTGAGAGGGGCTCTCTGTACTCAGCCTTGGCCCTGCTAGCACACCTGATGTGGCTCCCAGTCCTCAGAAGAGTCGGTCTGGGCCTGGCCATCCTGGCCCAGGGTCTGGCTTCACTTCTCAAGTCAGCTCAGAATGGCTGTCCCTGAGGCAGGAAGGCAGCCTCCCCTCTCCAGAGGGCAGAGGCTCTCTGAGCTTCCTCACCTGGATTTGGCAGATCCTGTGCTCCTACCCTTCACGTGACTGGCCCCATCCTGTCTAGCATGTGACACTATTCCTAAATGTGACCAATCTGTCCCTTGCATGACTGACCTGTCCATTATGTAACTGGTTCTGTTCCTCCTGTGACGCTATCCCTCCTGTGACTCTATCCCTCCTGTGACTGACTGACTGGTACCACTGCTGGTGCCTGGCTGAGCTGCGCTGAGACAGAACCCAGGCCTCACCCTGACTGCCTCTGCTGAGCATGGAGAACAGGAGTGTGTTTGCTCATTGCCTTCTCTGAGATTCCCTGAGAAGGTTACTGTCCTAGGGCTCTCTTGCCTCTCCTGCCTGTGAGGCGGGGGCTGGACGAGGGCTGGGGATGATGGAGCCAGTGTGGTCTTGCTGCAGGAGAGACCTGGGGGAGGCGCACTGGTTTCCAGTCTCAGGCCAGGCCTCTCCTCTACGTGGCTGCTTTGCCCTCATTTGTTCCCTGTGTGGTGACTGACTGGCCAGGCAAGTGCCCTGAGCTCAGAGCAGTGAGGGCCAGGAGTACCTTCTCACTGCTTGAGCCAGTGATGCCCAGCCCTTCCTTAACACCGTGCACAGGCAGTGCTACAAAGAGGATGGCAGCTCGAAGAGCCCCGACTGCCCCGTGTGCAGCCGGTCCCTCAACAAGCTGGCACAGCCCCTGCCCATGGCACACTGCGCCAACTCACGCCTGGTCTGCAAAATCTCTGGTGATGTCATGAACGAGAACAACCCACCTATGATGCTGCCCAATGGCTACGTCTACGGCTACAATGTGAGCTGTGGGGCAGGGCGTTGGGCTGGGCTGGGCTGGGCTGGGCTGGGCTGGGCTGGGCTGTGCTGTGCTGTGCTGTGCTGTGCAGGCTGCCTGTTGAGCTGCTGGGGTTCCCTGGCAGTGTCATTGTGTCTCAGGAGATGATGCTGCAGGCTGAGCTGCATGCTTTGATGGTGTGCTGTGTGGGTTTTTAATGGAAATCTAATTTATAGTGCATCTTCTTAATTTTTTCCTGATCTTATTTTTCAGTCTCTGCTTTCTATCCGTCAAGATGATAAAGTTGTTTGCCCAAGAACCAAAGAAGTCTTCCACTTCTCACAAGCCGAGAAAGTATATATCATGTAGGCCCTGTGTCGCCAGGTGCACGCCTCGGCTGGGGCTGTGTGGGCAGGGCATGCCCTCCCCATCCCTGGCCCTAGCCTGCCACCGCATTTCTGTTTCTTGCGACCAAAGATCAGTGAGCAACGATAAATACTCTTAGGAAGTGAGGAAGTGAGATTTAATGAGTTCGTACTTGAAAACAGCGTTTGATGGGTAGGATTTTGTAACGTAAGTCGACTATTTGATGCTTCTGCAAAGTACTTGCACCTCTCAAAGGAAACTCTACAGCCTGACCTCAACCCTGAAGAGCTTTAGGACAGCTCACAGGTAGGAATCCTTCTCTCCCGAGTTTCTCAGCTTCCTCTTTTTGCTGAAGAGTCCTGGGGAGCGTATGGAACAGGCTGGTCCTTCAACACATGTTAGCCATGGCCTGGGTGAGGTGCTGGCACGTGGGCGGCCTGCGGTGACTTGCCATGCAGTGCACGAGGGCCCTTCCTGACGTCACTGGAGCTGCCACCAGAGCACCCTGCAGGCCCTGGGGCCACGTCCTGCGTGCAAGCTTGGGCTCAGCCCCGGTCCTCCGTGCACCGCCTTACTTCCTGCTTCGAGAATGTATTCACGTGGAAATCCACTGGATCGAGTTTCTGCAGAGGCCTTGCTGGATAGTTCTGTAGCCCTGGAGTCTGCATGCTATTCGTTACAGGAGCGGATAGTTCAGCTGAAGCAAGTACTAATGGGTTTTCAGAACACACGAACCATTGTAGTCCACACAGAAACCTGTGGTAGAGGTTTGTATCTAGCGCTTATTTTTGCATGTTGATGTTGATTAGCTAATAAGCTGTAAATGTAAAGCGTGTTAATAAAATGGCTTTCTATTTCTCACTCTGAGGAGTTTCTGAGCCCAGGGGAGTGCTCTGCCCTCTCTGGCTCACTCATTGGGGCTGGGGTTGTGGCTGCTGTCACTGCAGCAAAGGGGGCTCAGCACATCAAGACAGGGGTTTCAAGAAGAGCACAACCATCTTCCCGCCTTGCAGAACCCACCACTAATGGGAAGGGCTGCCCTGAAGTTGGAGACCTCAGCTTGGAATCCTGAGGTCACATCTCACTCTTGGCCTGATCATTGCCCTCCTGGGCCAGGGGTGCAGGCTGGTTGGACAGCCAGCTGGGGTTCTGAGAGCAGCTCCTGTCGCCTGTGGCCCTGGTTCCCAGTCTTTGGGGCTGCTCTTGGTTGTGGCCAGAGTCTGAGGTTCTGAGCTGTGGTCAGCTGCCCTAACCCTCACAGCTGCTCTGCAGTGCCCCTGCCCTGCTCTGCGGCCAGCCCTGCTTGGCACTTGATCTCTGAAGGCTGCCTCAGTCCCTTGTACTCCTGTCCTGCCACGCGTCTTCACATACGCCTCCTCCTGTGCCCGCTCCAGTTCAGGCCTTTGTGGAAGTTGATGCCTGCGGTGCCCATTGCTGACCTCTACTCTCTATGGCCACCCAGGGCTCAGCTTTGGGGTCTCCCTGTGACCTGTGCAGGCCAGGTGGTGCCAATCCGCATACTACACCGTGTTGTATCCCCTGCCTGCTCCACCCACAAGTCCGGCCAGCAAGTGGCAGCAGAACTTCACGTGATGTTCTCTGTGCCCCGCACTCCTGAGCACTGTGTGCTCTCCAGAGCAGGGCCTTCCAGGCCTTGCCTCTTGATCACCACCGGTCCACCACCTGTCTGCTCCTGCCTCTTTCTTACCGATGGACAGCACGACAGAGAGCACACATCCCACATATAGCCCCTGGACCAATCCAGCTTCCCACTGGTGCTGTGTCCTTTCCTAGTCGACACTTTGGTGACCATTGCCAATCAGTAGCTCAGCTGTTTCTTGAGCGCCATGAGAATGGAACTACACAGCGTGGGCCCATGAGCTCAGACTCATGTCTGGGTGGGTTGTCCACGTACAGCAAAGTCTTCATCTGCCGCTAAGTTGAGGGCCATTGCAGGAGCGAGCACAGTGGCCCATCCTTTCTTCACATTGGTAGTATCTCAGCTGTGAGTGCGCATCCACATCACTTGCTGGATACACGTTGGATAAAGCTGGAGGGGTCAGGCTGGCTTCCACCCTCCTGCAGTGGTACGGGAGCTCTGCCTGCTCCGTGCCATCCAGTGCTGGGTGCTGGGAGCCCTTTGTGGTTAGACTGCTGGTTGTGTAGTCTAACTGTGCTGTTTTTAAATAATTTTCTTTAGTTGTAGATGGACACAATATCTTTACTTTTATTTACATTTTTAACCTGGTGATGAGGATCAAACCCAGGGCCTCATGCATGCGAGGCAAGTGCGCTCTACCACTGAGCTACAACACCAGCCCCTAAATATATAGTTTTTAAATAATTATTCTTTAGTTGTAGTTGGACACAATATCCTTAATTAATGAATTTATTTTCAGTGGTGCTGAGGATCGAACCCAGGGCCTTACCTGTGCTTGGCAAGTGCGCTACCGCTGAGCCCCAGCCCCAACCCTAACTCTGCTGTTTTTAAAAACTGAGTTTAAGATGACAGATTAAAGCATACCAGACCTTCAGTGAGAAGAGCTGTTTTCCTCTTGTTGCCTCAACGAACGTGTTTCAGTCGTCCTTCTTGATGTGCTGGAGCAGCAGAAGTAATCCACGTTCGCACAGACCACACAGGTCCATTGTCGTCTTGGTGGACCCAGCTGCACTGGGCTGGTGGCCATGCCTGTGATCCCAGCCACTCCGGAGGTTGTAGGCCAGCCTGGACAACACAGCAAGACCCTTCTGCCAAAATGGAAGGGCTGGGGTGAGTTCTGGTCTTACTCCTGGGTTTAGTCCCCAGTGCTGCAAGAAATAAAACTGCTATGAACATTTGTGTTTGAGTCTTTGTAGACATGGTTCTTGTCCTTTGAAAGTAATTCTCTGGAAGAATTGCCAAGTTCCAGGGTTGTTGTGCCCGACTCTACTCCTGCCAAAGACTTCTCCAGGTGGTGTGCTGCCCCGCCACCTCTGCAGGCCCTAGGGTCCAGTGGCTCATGTCTTTGCCAGCATTTGGTGGTGATGGTGTTTTCGGGCAGAAGTCCTGGTACTTCACTGAGGTTTCCATTTGCTTTCCTCTGGTGACAGTGCTGAGCCCATGTGTCTGTTTAGGTCTTTGGCCACTTTCATTGCATTGTCTACTGATTGGTAGGAATCCTTGACAGTGTCAGTGGAGGGTCTGAATTTAGTCAAGTTCAATTGATCAGTTCTTTATTTTCATGATTAGTGCTTTTTCTGTGTTCTAAGAATGACCTGCCTATCCCAGAGTCAAAATAGTATTCTCGTATGCAGATTCATTTTCACTTTTTCTGTTAGTTCTTGGTATGGTGTGAGGAAGAGCTTGTGGACCATTTCCTGTGTTTATTCTGTGGCCCTGATGTTATTTGTTAAAAATGACTTTTCTCTCCCCCTTCAGTAAAGGTGACTGCCTGGGTGCTCTGGCTGAGCTGGCTTTAAGGTCTGTCCTTGCCAGTGCTACCTCCAGCATACACTGCCCAGTCTCGTGCCTGTCATTTCACTCGCAGGTAACCTGAGTCCTGTTTTTTTTTTTTTTTTTGTACTTTTTCAAAATTGTAGCTATTCCAGGACCTTTACATTTCCACTTAAGTTTTAGAATTGTCTTCTTTTGTGCTGGGGAATGAACATAATCAGTTTTTCAGTGGGACGTGGAGGTAGAGCACTTGCTTAGCAATGTGCAAGCCCTCAGTTTGATCACCAGAACCATAAAAATGAGAGTCAACTTATATCTACTGAAATTTCTTCAGTGCAAGCTGGGATTTTAACTGAAATTGTATTCAATCTATCACTTCATTTGGGGACTCTATCAGGTTGCTCAGGCTGCATAACACATACCATGGCCTAGGTGGCTTAAACAGCACAGGTCCTTCTCAGCACTGAGGCGGCCTAGCTGGCTGGTGCTGGTGCTGCCTCTTCCTGCTGGCAGAGGGCCCCCTCCCCACTGTGTCCTCACTTGGGCCCTCCTCAATCCATGCAACTCTGGGGTCTGTCTCTCATGAGGACACCAGCCCTGCTGGATCAGGGTCCTACCTACCCCGACGGCCTTCCTCCATGCAATGTAGACTCTGGGGTCTCTCTCATGACGACACCAGCCCTGCTGGATTAGGGTCCTACCCTGATGGCCTTCGTTGCCCCTCTCTCTCTCTCTCTCTCTCTTTTTTAGCTATAAATGGACACAATATCTTTATTTTGTTTACTTTTTAAAATGTGGTGCTGAGGATGGAACCCAGTGCTTCAGATGTGTGAAGCAAGTGCTCTGCCACTGAACCACAACCCCAGCCTGCCTTCATTGCCTCTTTAAAGGCCTGTCTCCAAACACAGTCACTTTGGGGGTCAGAGCATCAACATGGGAATTTGGGAGGGACACAGTTGAATCCATAAGAGACATTGAGTCCTCCAACCCATAAATATGCTGCATCTCTTCATGAAGTTTAGATTTTACTCTTACCTAAATTTAACATATTTGATTGATTAACTTCAGGTTTTTTTTGTTGTTGTTGTTGTTTGTTTTTGGTACTGGGGATTGAACTGAAGGGCACTTGACCACTGAGCCACATCCTCAGCCCTATTTTGTATTTAGAGACTGAGTCTCACTGAGTTCCTTACCACCTTACCATTGCTGAAGCTGGCTTTGAACTTGTGATCCTCCTGCCTCAGCCTCCTGAGCTGCTGGGTCTTTCTTAATTCTTAATTTTAAAAATAATTCTTAATTTTTAAAATCTACCTCTTGGGGCTGGAGTTGTGGCTCAGTGGTAGAGCACTTGCCTAGCATGTGTGAGGCACTGGGTTCAATTCTCAGCACCACATATAAATAAATGATTAAAGGCCCACCAATAAAATCTACCTCAATTATTCAGTGGAAATATGTAGACACGATCAGTATTTGTTAATTGAGCTTGTGACTACTGTGACCCTACTCACTCACTCATGAGTTCTGGTAGCTTTCAGATAAAGTTTTGAGGTTTTCCATGTGTGCAGTTGTGTCACCTCCAAACAGTCCTGTTTCTCCCCTTCAAACCTCTCTACTTCACTTTTCTTACCAGTTCCTGGAGCCTCCAGAGCGATATTGAGGATGAGGGTGTAAGAACGGTGTCTAGTGCCCTGTTAGGCAGAAAGCACTGCATCTTGCACACTGAAATAGAGCATTTACAGACATCCTCATCTGGTTGAGAAGTTCCACGCCAGTTTTCTAGAAGTTATTATAAGGAACATTGAATTTTGTTTTTAAAAATTCCTTTGTAGAATGAAACTACCATTTTTCTCCTTTATTCTGCTTATCAGACATTGAGTAACTTTGAATTACTGAATTTTGAATGACTGAAATAAATTTCATTCAGTCATGTTGCATTGTTTTTATATATTGCTGGATTTGACTTGCTCTAGGCTTTGCTAGGGATTTTTACAACTATATTCATGAGGGCTATTGGTCTGTGGTCATTCTTTCTTGGAATTATTATTTTTGTGGTACTTCGGATTGAACCCAGGAGTGCTCTACATCCCCAGCCCTTTCATTTATTTTTTGACACAAGGTCTTGCTAAGTTGCTTAGGCCTCAAACTTGAGATCCTTCTGCCTCAGCCTCCCAAGTTGCTGGGATCACAGAAGTGTGCTCCTGTGCCCGCTTCTGGGAATGTTTTTGTCTGGTTTTAGTACAAAAGCACTCAAAACTCATGAGTTGGAGAGTGTTAACCTCCTTTCATGAAAAATTCTGTGTAAAACTGGTATCATTTCCTTAAATGTTTGATAGAATTTGCCAGTGAAACCATCGAGTTTTGGAATTTTGTTTGCAAGGGTTTCTTAACTTAGTATGAGCTCAGTTTCTTTAATAGTTGTAACTGATCAGTTCCCCCCACCCCAAGTATTCTGCTAATTTGTTCATCTAAGAGAAAACTTCTGGAATTAATGTTCGTAACTTATGCTCTGTTGTCTGCAGGACCTGCAGTGATGTCTCCTCTCCTCTCATTCTTTTTGTTTTTTGGGTGCCAGGGAGTGAACCCACTGGGGCTTAACCACAGAGCCACATCTCCAGCCCTTTTTTATTTTGAGACAGGGTCTTGCTAAGTTGCTGAGGCTGGCTCTGAACTCATGATTTTCCTGCCTCAGCCTCCCAAGTTGCTGGGATTGATTATCCATGTGGCTGGCACCATGGTGCCCAGCTTCTCCTGTCATTCTCATAGGTAATTTATTTCTTCTTTTTCTGTCTAGCTGAAGGCTTATCTGTTCATCATTTCAAACATCTCCTGTTACAGTATAGATCTGGACTGACCCCATCTCACGTATTCAGAAAGTGGTTGGATCATGAAGGTTCTGATCACATAAAAGGACTAGTCTACCGATGCCGAAAGGACCACTGCAGATGGGACAGCTGGAGCAGGTCACTGGTGTGTGCCCTGGGAGGGCTTATCATCTTTGCCCACCCTCCCTGCCTCTGGCTGCCCTAAGCTGAGCAACTTTCACCAGGACATTCTGCCTCTCCTCAGGCCCAGAGTAGGGAGTGGCTGAGGACTCTGAAACCAGGAGATGGTGTCAGTCTTTCCTCCTTAAGTTGTTCCTGTCCGACATTTTAATCACAGTGACAAAAGCTGACTTATAAACCTCCTTTGGTTTGAGTGACACCCCTCCCGTTTGCCTATTTTCTGTTCAATTGATCTCAACCTTATTAATCTCTACTGCAACTTATTCTGATTAATTGATCTTTCTAGTTTCTTAAGGGGAATATTAATGACGCAGTAGGTCAGGTCTCAGTGCCTGTGTCTGGAGTTCGCCTGCACAGTTGGAACTGCAGTTGGCTGAAAGGACTCACCTCTTCCCAGAATGCCCCCAGGGAGAGACCAGTGCAGTCAGCAGACTGTCTTTCACTTGTGCTGCTGCACAGAGCATCTGTGGTGGCCCTTTTAGCCTCTCCATGTTTCTTGTAAATACAATATAGTTTGGTCTTGCTCTTTTTAAACTAACTGGACCATCTCCACTTTCTATTTAAATTTTTTTTTGGTACTGAAAATTGAACCCAGGGGTGCTTTAGCACTGAGCCACATCCCATACCTTTTTATTTGTTGTTTTGAGACTAGGGCTTGCTAAGTCACTAGTGTTTTCAATTCTAAGTTGCCTCAACTGTCTTGAGTTGCTGGGATTCCAGGTGTGCACCACTGTACCTGGCCTTTTCGGGGGGGGGGGGATGGATATATATATATGTGTGTGTGTGTGTGTATTTTTAAATCTTTTTTAGATATACATGACAGTATTTTTTAAAATTTCTTTTTATAGTTGTAGATGGACAGCATGCCCTTATTTTATTTGTATGTGGTGCTGAGGATTGAACCCAGTGCCTCACAAGTGGAAGGCAAGCACTCTGGAACTGAGCCCCAGTCCCAGCCCTGATCTCTCCTTTATAACTAGGGCGTTCAGATCACTGACGTCGTGACTGTTGTAGATTCAGATTGGCTGTATTACAACTTGTTTCCTGTTTTTCTTACCTATTTCTTTTTCATCAGCTTCATTTTTGATTACTTTTAAAAGACCCCTCTGTCTTTGCATACTCATTAGCAGTCCCACATCTGTATGTGTGCTGGAGACGGGACCCAGGGGCTCACACATGCGGCCCTACCACCAAGCTGTATCCCCAGCCCTGTGGCTTTCTTTACAGTTGCTCTAGGGGCTCAGGGTATGGTCACACTACTTAACAACATGGGGTGTTCCGCACTGTCAGGTGGTTTTGTTGTGTGAATGTCTGAGCATACATTTTTTGCTATCACTTAGGTTTTGAAGGTCAGCTTGCTGCACATACAAGTCTGAGCTGACCATACTTTTACTTCTTTAAAGAAGTTTCCATTGTTTTCCAGCTTGCATTTTTTTTTTAATATTTATTTTTTAATTCTCGGTGGACACAACATCTTTGTTTGTTTGTGGTGCTGAGGATCCAACCCGGGCCACACGCATGCCAGGCGAGCGCACTACCGCTTGAGCCACATCCCCAGCCCCCCAGCTTGCATTTTTTAAATAACAAATCTCTGAAAATTCCAGTTGGTTCTTTCCCCCTTCGGAGACAAGTTCAGGCCCAGACTGACCCGGACACCTGGGCCCAAGCTATCCTCCTGCTTCAATCCCTGGACAGCTGGGACATCGTGTGCACCACCACATCTGGCTTCCACTGGTTCTTTTAAAACATCTAGTTCTCACCGAGATTCACCTTAGCCTTCTCATTTCACTCTCCATTCAAGAGATCCGAATGTCTGACTGCGTCATCATGAAGCTAGAAAGACCCCAGTTCTCAGGAGCAGCCCCGAGGGCAGAAAGGGGGTGCGCAGGTGAGATCAGGAACATGGAGCCAGCTAAGAAGACGCGGCTGCAGTGGGGGCCAGAGGCCACAGAAGGGTGCCGGCTGGGAGGGGCTGTGGGCCGCGCAGTGGGCTCTCCGCGCCGCCGGGGCAGGGCCGGTGGGCGGCAAGCCCGGCGCGCTCTGCCCGCCGAGGACGAGTGCCCTCCAGAGCTGCGAGGGCCGAGGGCGGGCTGGCAGCTGGCCCTGGACGTGCTCGAAACCTGGAGTGCTCTGAAGAGGGGGCTGCGGGGCTCCCAGGCCTGGAGTGAAAAAGGCCCTGCGGCGTGGACTACCGGCCCTGAGCAGCAGCGCCGGGAGCCGGCAGGTGTGCTCCGGGCGGTGGGAGGAGGGAGCCATCCCGGCTTCCCGCCCGGGGCGGCGGACAGAGCTTTCAAGGAATTTTGGCAGAGGGAAGCAAAGCACCTGCCAGCTGGTGGGCGACCTTTAGGCTGGGCAAAGTCACGCCGCAGAGGGGAACGGGGAGCCTCACCCGGCCGCCCCGCCCCTACCCCGCGCGCCGCGTCGTGACACCCAACGCCTCCGCCCCGGCTCCCCTCCCGCCCGCGGCACCACGGCCCACACAAGCCCGAGGCTCCCACCTGGGCCGCCCTCGCTGACCCTTCAGGGGCAGGGCCGCGAGCCTCCTGGCGGACGTGCAGTGCTCTCCAGGCTCAAACCTCTCTCTGGGTCTGAGTTTCCTAGCGAGTTGTCGACCCAGATGTCCTGTCCCTTTTACACCACGGCGCCTTTAAGGTCTTGCTGCGCCCTCCTGCTTCTTTTTTCTCGCGCGTCGACCTCCTAGGGCAGCCCCGCCTCGCAGGGAGCGCGCCTGCGTCACTGCGCGAGGTCGGCCTCACCCTAGCGCCTGCGCTGTCGAGACGAGGGTTGCCTCGCTCCGGGCCTTGAAGGGGTGGGCGGGGTCTCCTCCGGAAGGGGCGGGGAGATGTGGTGCCTCGCGCTGTGGGTGTGGTGGTTGCAGAACTGACCTTTGCTCCCACGCCGCGGTATCAGGGAGCCAATGGCTTCAAAGCTCCGGGACGCGTGGTGGCTGGCGGGGGCGGGGCCTCTGCCGGAAGGGGCGGGCGATGCGGTAGGTTCCGTGTCAGCCGCGCAGCTGTGCGGGGTCGCACCCAGCCGGCCCGGGGTCCGGAGGCCGCGCGCTTCTGCGCTCGTTGCGCTGCCTGGCAGCAGGGCCCTCCACTCCCCGCGCGTCGGTGTAAGACGGTGGCTTTCGTTACCTTCCGCACCTGCCTGTCCCCGGTGCGGCAGCGTCTCCCGCACCGTGGCTTGGTTGTCCCGATCTAGCCTCGGCTTTGACACTTCCAGATCGTCACCGGGGACGCTTGACTCGCCCTAACGGTGCTTGGAGCTGCCCTGTTTCCTAGGGCGTCTTTCTGCGGAGGCCAGAGCCTTGGACACAGCCTCAGGCCCTCCAGCGGTGCGCAGTATCTAGGCGAACCCGGTAGCATTTATCAGTAAGACCAAGAGGGTAAAGTAAGGTGGCAGTTCATCTCTGCGTTCCGTATTTCTAGACATGGATCAAAAACTGTTAAAGTTGGTAGAAGAGCTCACAACTTCAGGAGAACCCCAACTGAATCCTGAGAAAATGAAGGAACTGAAGAAAATTTGCAAGTATGTCTTTAGGTTTAGCATTTCATGATATTTATTCCAGTAAGCCCATGACTCTAGGGAGATTGTGGGGTTTTCTTGGACCTCAGCAGTTTGCCCACCTCCATATCTCAGCCATCCCCTCCTGCCTCCCCTGGAAAGATCCACCAAGGACCAGGCCAGCAACATTCCCCAGGCCCTGCAAAGTCATCTCTGACAGGCAGCATTGTGGGTGGAGGTGCAGGTCAGCAGAGCACAGAGAGGTCTGTGCTTGGTACTTCTGATTCTGTCTATATGTGCATGTTACAAAGCATATAACAGAGGCATTCTTGAGTGCATCTATGGGATCTGTGGGCAAATGTACCTCTTTTATTACTGTTGAAACATGGGAAGGGAGAACGTTCACAGTTGGGTAAATCTGCACTGTGTGTGTGTGTTGTGGTGCTAGGAATGGAACTCAGGGCCTTGTGCATGCTAAGCAGGGACTCTATCCCTGAATCACACCCAGCCACTCTGTCTTTAGACAAAACTAGTCTTTAGCAAAACTTCTTCCTGTCATTTGCTGGGAACATGAACCTGTGTTCAAAGAACAAAACTGATGTAGTGTACCTTTCAGTAAGAAACTCCAACTCAGACACGGTTTTGCTGCAGGTCCTTGAAAACTCCTAAATCTCTGGGGTTCACACAGGGCAGGGCTGCGGAGAGGCAACACCCAGAGGGCTCCATGGGCCTTCCCCTCACTTCCTGCAGAAGAGGCTGGGTTTGTGCACTCAGCTAGTCTGTGGTGCTCCTGAGTGGTGAGGAAGCATCTGTGAAGGGATGATGAAAAATACTTGAGGCTGAGGTCCCTGCAGACACCACGCAGCTCTAAGAGCAGCTGTGGAAACGGACATTGCGACAGGGCTGCATTTTAATAAAACTTTATAAATGGCACTGATACTTGGCACTCATAACTTTCCCACATCAAGAATCATTCCTTCATGTGTCTTGATCACTTATTTGTTTTGCCATGCTGGGGCTCAAACCCAGGGCCTTGTGCAGGCCAGGCAAGTGCACCACTGAGCAGTTCTTTAAACCATTTAAAAATGTAGGAAACAGTTTGGGCTTGTGGGCCACACAAAAAGAGGCACAGTTGAGGGGCCTCATTCATGCCAAGACATTGGTCTGCTTACCCAGCTCTAGGAGAAGGGGTGGAGGAAGCCTGGACTGCAGCTGTGGCCTCCACTATATGTAAATAGTGCATCCTGTGTGAGTGTAAACTGACCCTTCAAGTACCAGGTGCTGAGCTCAGGCTGGCTTGTGCCCCCAGGTCTTCAGAGGAGCAGCTCAGCTGTGTCTACCGCCTGCTGAAAACACAGCTGACCCAGGACCATGCTGAGGTCCGCCTGTCCGCCTTCCAGATCGTGGATGAGCTCTTCACCAGGTCTCACCAGTTCAGGGTGCTGCTTGTTTCTGACTTCCAGGAGTTCCTGGAGCTCACACTGGGCACCAACCATGAGCAGCCCTTGCCACCCCCCAGAGAGGCAGCCCAGAGGCTGAGGCAGGCAGCCCTGCGAGCTGTGGAAGGGTGGAATGAGAGGTTTGGTGAGGCCTATAAGAAGCTAGCCTTGGGCTACCACTTCTTAAAACACACCAAAAAGGTAGGTGGGCCTTGCACACTGCTGCCGGTTCCCTGGGGCAGAGCAGATAGGCCTCAGGAGGGAAGACCTCTTACTGTGGAGCTAAGTACAGAGTGCTCCCAGGCCATGTTGTTGGGCAGCTTGGCCTAGGTACCTGGGTTGCTGGACCTGCTTGGGGCCTGGGAGGGGAGGAACATCTTTGAGGAAGACAGGCTGTGCCCACGTGTGCATCAAGCTAAGCCTGCAGCCTGTGTCACCTTTGATTGTTCAGCCCTGTTCTGTGACAGGCACTGTCTTCTGGGAGTTTCCCTACCTGTGTTCTTAAGAGTCCCTACCTGGATCCTGCCATTGGCTCTAATGGGTTCTGGGCATGATGAAATCCATCAGGACTTGCTGCTGTGATCCCAACCCAACTCTGTCACTGCCCAGACCTTGCTTTGCCCCTGCCCTCTATGGACAGGTGGCCCTGCCTGTGGGCCAGAGAACCAGCTCTCCCTCTGACCCACTGGCGTGACACCTCCTGGGGTGCACATTCAGGTGGTGCTTGGGCTCTGGGGTCCAGACAGCAGCCCATTTGCATCCTGTACTCCCACTAGTACTGCACTTGTGGCTGGAAGTCTTTTTTTAATTTTATTTTTGAGGTGGGGTTTTGTTTTTCCCAGGCTGTCCTCGAACTCCTGAGCCCAGGTATTTCTCCTGCCTCAGCCTCCCAAGTAACTGGGACAACAGGCCTGCATCATGGCACCTGGCCAGGGCTGGGAGTTCACACCTCTTTTATCTGAAGTGGTAGACTCAGCAAGTTTTTCAAGATGAAGCATCGAGTTCAGCGTATATCCTGTTGTTAAGATGATGGCGTCTCCCCTTGCTGAGGCCTGCTGCATGCTCATGTGGTGGCCATTTGCTCTCTGGTGTTTGTTTGTTGTGGACAGTCCTGATCTTCACTGTTTCCCAGGTGGACTTTCAGGATGTAAATGGGAGGACTCTGGCAGAAAGGCAGCAAGAAGAGCAGAAGCAGAGGCACTTGGATAGAATCTACAGAGAAAGAGCCAAGCAGGCCGAAAGGGAAATGGAAGGCAAGTTCCAGGCTGAGGGTGCCTCGTACATACCAAGGGCCGCCTATGCCTATGCCTTCTCCCAGGACCCTGGTCACAGGAGACCCAGGCAGGCCAGGCTAGGGTTCAGGTTGGGCAGTCCCTGCACAGGCGCTTGCACCCCTGCGCCCCCTGGTGGTTAGTTATGTCTCTAGCCCTTTGGGGAGGCTCCCTGGGCACAGGCTGAGTGGAGAGCTTCCAGACAGTGGTCTGTGCTTGGGTCTGCTGAAGGTCCCCTTGCTGTTTTGTCTCCCAGCCACCATTCACCTCCCTCTCCCCTACCTATTTTTTTTTTTTTTTAGTAATGGGGATTGAACCCAGGTGTGCTCTGCCACTGAAGTTCATCCCTGGCCCTTTTTATTCGTAATTTAAAATTTTTTAAATTTTGAGTTGCTTAGGTCCTTGGTAATTTTACTGAGGCTGGCCACAAACCTGCAATCCTCTTGCCTCAGTGTCCCGAGTTTCTAGTATTACATGTGTACCCCTGCACCCAGCTCCCCATTTGCTCTTAACCCAGCTTCTACCCCCCAAATCCCTACGATGTACGTCCTGGCAGCCAGCCTTTTCTTGAGGGAGAGAACAGGGTGTGGGGAATCAGAAGATCTAGGGGATAGTCATCCACCTGCAGGGTGCCCAAGACCCACCAGGGCAGTTGCTCTGTGTCTTAGACAGCAGGGCTGATGCTCTTCTGTGCCCAGACCCCCCAGGGCCTGTTGTAGGCAGGCAGGTGTGCCCAGATGGTAGAGAGGCCACCAGGAGGGAGAGCTGGCCCAGCCCTACAGGGTGTGGCTTGATGTTGGCAGATGTGGCTGCTGGGGGAGGCTCAGCCCTCTCTGGGATGCACTGCTCTGGTTGAAGGCTCCCTGCTCTGCAGTTGGTCCCTGGCATGTTTGCCTGTGCTCCTGCGGCTGCCAAGAGGTGACCTTGCAGTCCTGCCAGCTGGGCAGTTTAGTAAGCGGGTGAAAGCTGCTGTGATACATTTATCTTGGGTGTTGGCTTTTCTTGGGAAGTGAGGCCCAAGGGTGCAGGTGGCACATGTGACCCTTAGCTGCCTGGTGCTAACAGTGACCAGGACCTTGACACATTGTGTGGTGGGGATACTCCTCGCTCAGTGTGACGAGGCCAGATGTGTCTCCATGTCTCGGCAGAGATGTCTGCAGAAGTTGGGTGCTGTCTGACGGAAGTGGAGAACTGCTTCAGGCTGCTGGTGCCCTTGGACTTTGACCCGTGTCCAGAAGCCAGCTTCCTTGATGAGGGTCCCCCTGGTTCCTTGAGCTCAGACTGGGAAGTCCCTCACTGGTCTAGCACTCCTGATGCCCCAGATGAGCCATGCTGCAGCAAGGACCTGCCTGCCTCTGCATACCACCCGGGGGCCACTGGTGCTGGGGAGGGGCCGCCCCAGGCAGCCACAGGGGACCCCTTGGAGGACGAGGAGCAGCCGTGCTGCAGCAAGGACCTGCCCGCCTCTGCGCAACACTCAGGGGCCGCAGGTGCTGGGGAGGGGTTGCCCCAGGCAGCCGTGGAGGATGCGCCCCAGGACGAGTGCAGCGGGGAGCAGTTTGTGCGCAGCCATGGGCTGGGCTCACACAAGTACTCGCTGGACGTGGAACTGCCCTTGGGTAAGGGGCCACCAGGTCTGCTGGTGCCTCCCTGCCCAGGCTCTGCTGGCTAGTGGGCCACTGCTGTGCCAGCCCCCAGCCTAGGTAACCCACAGCCATGCTAAGTCTGGCCTACAGTGGGTACATGCAGGCTTTTCCTTCCCATTTAGCCTCTGCCCTGGGCTGTGCCCACTTTACCAGGCCTCTGTGGCCACAGGCCGGTCACAGAAAGCATATGGACTTGTTTGCCATCTATAGCCCACTCCAGCAAGGCTCTGGGCAGGGTGGGTGCAGGAAGGACGTGTGTAGGGCCAGAATCACACAGCAGTGAGCTCTGTCGACACTCGGCTGGCCTGGGTGGGCTTCCAGCATTTCCCTGTGGGCTGTAGCCTCTTGGCCTCAGGGTCCGTTGTGACCCCCATTCACCTCATTCCAGACGGTCTGAAGGTGCAAGAGAATGATGACAACCTTGCTGTCCTCCATGCTGCCCGCGATGCAATCAAGCTCATCCAGAACAAGTTCCTGCCAGCTGTGTGCTCCTGGGTCCAGGTGAGGCTGGGCACCTGGCCTTCAAAGCTGTCCCTGTCAGGCCAGGGCCTGGGCAGAATGAAGATGTAGTTGGCGGGAGCCGTAGGCTGGAAGGAGGAAATGTGGAAAGTGCAGGTGTGGGTCTTGTCCTTGGGGTGACCTAGGGGGTCAGCCAGGTGTCCTTGACCATTTGTTCCCAAGGCTACATACCAGGCCATGTTGCCTCCTGGCAGGGCTTGTGTTCTCTGTAACTTCTTCCTTGTTCTGCAGAGGTTTACCCGAGCAGGGACCCATGGTGGACACTTATGGCGTGCCATCGACTTGAAGGCAAAACTGGAACTTGCGCTGAGAAAGTATGAGGAGCTTCACGTGCAGCCTGAGTGGGGACCAAGGAGCAAGGTGTGTGCGTGTGGTGGGCCGGCAGGTCCAGGTCTGGGGGGGAGGAGCGAGGTGTGTGTGCGCGTGATGGGCCGGCAGGTTTGGGGCGGGGCTGAGCTGCCTGTGCAAGCAGGAGCTGCTTCAGGCTCCTCTCTCTCTCTGTTGGCCTGGCAGTGGGAGCCCAACTGGCGTCTCCTGGTGCCAGAGCCCAACCGTGCCCCACATGTGGACATGCCCCACAGCCCAGCAGGGCCCGCCCCATAGTGGACACGTGAGCTCATTCACTGTATCGTGGCAACATGGCTCCTGCTACTGGGTGTTGTCCACTTACCCTGCACTGTAGCCAGGGAGCCCTGCAAGTCAGACTGTGCCCCTCCTGCTCAGGGAAGGATGGGGCTTTTGTGGAGTCTTCAGCAGAGTGGGTTCTGTGTACTGATGGGCACCATGGTGAGCTGGGACAGGGTGCTCACTTTGGGGATGGAGACTCAAAGACCAGCCATCTGCTGGACTGTGTAGCACCTTAGCCTGGGAGGGACCATGGCATTGATGAAAGAGAAATAGGCCCTCTGTGGTTGGAGAGGCAACAGGGGTTCCTGGGCTTCCCTTAGCAACCGCATGCCACCAGAGCAGGGCAGGGTCTCTAGATGGGGCTGAGAGGTGGGAGCCTCAGGCAGGCTGAGGGAGGACTGGACGCTGAGCCTGGGCCTCCAGGCAGTGGGCTAGGGTGTAGCCAGGCATCCACCCTGGAGCACAAGGTCCTTGGCACTGGATGCCTTGGAGCTGGCTGGAGGAGGCAGGTGAGCTTGTAGCAGCCTGAGAGCGAGTGAGGGTGGTATTCCTGCCTAGAGATGCTCGGGGGCTGTGGCGGGGAGAGGATGCTGCACTGGGGCTTGTTGTGCCTTATGAAAGAGAACTGTCGCATGCAGATGCCATCTTCCTGCCTTTGGTTGGTCTCTCACCTGCTCTCAGAGAAGCTGAGAAAATAGACACCAGATGCACCGCTCCTGGGGTCCCTGGGGAACCCAGAACCAGTCCCAGCTGAGTGGAGAGGGTGCAGCCCTGGCCCAGGGAAGGTAGACTTCTTTTTTTAAATAATAACTGTATTTTTTATTTATTTTGTGTATGCAGTGATGAGGATTGAACCCAGTACCTCACACATGCTAGGCAAGTGCTCTGCCACTGAGCCCCAGTCCCAGCCCAGAACCTCCCCCTTTTCAAAGGTAGCTTTGAGGTGGAAAGAACTCTTGTTTCTTGCCAAGAAAAAGATGAAGTTGCAGGCCACGCAGAGCCCAGACCAGGAGTGGGCATACATGTTGCATGCAGCCACCAGGTCAGGGCTCTAAGCTGAGCTCAGTCAGCTTATGCTGTGGCTGGCATCCCTGGTGCCCTGCCCTGTGTGGTGTGACCATACTGAGCCCTGGCAGCAGACCTGGGGTGGCAATGCAGTGCCAGAAGTTCTGGAACCCGAGAGGAGGAACCCCTACCTGAGCAGCCGCTGGGAGATCCCTGGCTGTGGAGGCCATTTGTGGCCCTCAGGCCCACCAGAGGGCGACCTTGCTTCTCTCCTGCAAACCCCATGAGTCTGCGCTGTGCAGCTTGGGGACAGGAGTCTTTGTGGGCGCTCATTCTGCCTCACTAGAATCCACTGTGTGTGGCATGCTGCTTGTTTAAGGAGTCAGCTTTTTCAGTTTTGACCAAAATATATTTACGGTGAAAAATAATTGTCTGGTGGGAGGAAGGTGCCTGTCAGCTACTCAGTCAGAGGAGCTTACTCTAGACCGCAGGGCACTAGCACTCCGAGCAGCCAGCCTGGGTGCAGAGTGAAGGCCAGGTGGGCCCCCAGCGCTGTGCTGAGTGTGGAGGTTGCCTTGTGTGGTGTGCACTTGTGCTGTCCAGGGCTCACCCATGGCCATTTTGCTGCTGATGGCCTTGGTTGTAGCAAGGATGTCCTTGGACATTTGGTGTCCTGGGGATGTCCACAGGCTTCCCATGCTGCTGGGGTCCATTCTCATCAGGCCTAGGTATGATCAGCCTGCATGGTCTTCTGGGGCTAGTGGCAGTGCTGAAGGTGGCAGGACCTGAGCCCAGAAGGGTCACAGCAGCCGGCTGCTCTCCTTGGCCTGAGGCTCTGTCAGCAGGGCCCCTGGAGAGCTGCTGCCCCTGCTCTCATCTCGGAGCCTCACACCTGCAGGTGCGGCTGACTAGGGGAGGGTCCCCGACAGTCTTTCCCAGGGCTGGTGGCTGCTCAGCCTGCACTGTGGTGGGGGGTCAGGGCTCTGAGCTAAGCTTAGCCAGCTCTTGCTGCCACTGGTGTCCCTGGCACACCAGAGGGTCAGGCTGTCCTGCGTAGCCTGTGTCCTGGCCCCGCCACACCTGCTGACTTTGCCATGTGCTTGAGGAAACTTGAGTCCTAGCCACGCCTGGCCGTGTGCCTCCTCCCTCTGTAGGCCCAGGAGGTCTGGTTTCCTTGACCTCTGCTTGCCCTGGACTCCTGCCAGCTGCCTGTCCCTTCCAGATGCTGGTGCTCTTGTCTGCTGTGTCCCAGGGTGGGTGAATGGGACTGGGCCCACTGGTGTAGCTACCTCTATTCTAGCTGTGGCTCACAGGGCTTATCCCAAAGCTCTCATGGGCTGTGGACACTGGAGTCCCAAATCCAGCCCTTCGGAGCTGTCCACCTGGCCCTCTGTAGTGCACAGCCTCAGGCCACTGCATGGCCCCTGCCTTCCACTGTGCACTCTGGCCATCGGCCCTGCTTTGACTCCACTCAGTGTGTCCTTTGATACTGTCAGAGTAGATGACTCGTCCCCACTTCTGCCCAGGGCCTGCAGGACCTGCTGCTGGAGGGCAGGGCCACACAGGGTGTTGTGCATGGGCAGTGAGGGGCTGCGGGTGTCCTTTGGCCACGTGGTCTGGTCAGTAGACTCCTGCCCAGGCTGCTCTTCAGGAGAACAGGGCTCCTGTGAGTGTGCAGGGCCTATCAGGCCCTGCAAGGTTGATGGTGTCCCCGCTTCAGTTGGAAGACACATGTCACTCTGCTCTGCTGTCAGCTGAAGGGACACTTTCTGGACCCTCTCCACACACTGATCCTAATAAAGGCACTCTGAAATCCTCAGAGGTTTCTTGCGCAGAGGCAGAGGAGCAGCCCGCAGATGGAGTGATTGGAGGGCTCCTGCTGCAGCCGCTTAGGCTCAGGTGAGCCGCTTCCCAGAATAGATGCGGCAGCCAGTGCAGGCAGGCCTATCTGCCCATCTCCCTCCTGCTGGCGGCCCTCCCTGCAGAGCTGTAGCACCCGCAAAGGCTTGGGCAGGGGTGGAGCAGCTAATGAACATCAGTGTTAATTAGAGCTGTTTTAATTAGAAATTATGAATGAGGTGTTCTTCGCTAATTTTCAAATAAAATTTACGAAGGGTTTAAATTGTTTCCCTTACATTTCCCCACTTAGCACGGGATTGGCATCGTTAACTCCGCGTGTAGAACAGGCTAGGTGGGGAGCACTAATTCAATAATGCGTGATTCAGACATCTGAGAACTTCTGACAGATGTGAGAGACTGAGACAGACATGACGCCCACTTAGAGCCAAGTGGCCACCGCCAGGCCCTGGGCTCTCCGGGCTGAGGGGGAGGGGGAGGGCAGCCTGCCTGCAACCCGCTGCAGTCTGTTTCACAGGTCCTCTTTCTGCCTGTCGCCTGTTTTCTACATAGTATTGTTTTCCTTTTGACATAGATGCTCTGTCCTCAGAAAAATACTTAAGCCAGTTTAAATATGTTTAAGTGTTTGTTTTATAGAGTGTCTCCATGTCAGCTCCGTGTGGGAGCAGACTGGGGATAAATCTTGGCTGGATCAATATGGAGGGTCATTGGGTAGATTTAGTTTCCACCCTGCTCTGTTACAGGCGGGCTGTAATAATCCAGCTGCCTCGTTCGTTAAACTGATAAAAATCCTTTGAAAACTTGTAAATTGCCTGCTTTTAATTATGTAGCTTGAATCAACGGTTATTTTCTTATTGTGTAATTAACAAAATACTAATTTCCCACCAACGAGTGAGTCAGAGAACAGTGATTCCGAGGCTCTGTCACCTGGCCCTGTGGGCAGTGCTTTGCCTTTTTCCTGTGGTCAAGCTGCAGGCTCCCCTGTGTCGCTGGCCAGCAGGTGGGCTTGGCCTTGCCCTCACCGCCCTGCCTCCAGCCCCAGCTGCCAGCCTCTCCCCCTGGCTGTGGGGTCGGGAGCTTCCTGTGCTGCTGCCCAAGCCCTCGTAGCATCTGGTTCCCTAGGTGAGGAGGACAGAATTAGAAAGCCCAGGGAATGAAATGTTGGCCCATCAGACACGTACAGGGACGGTCAATCAGCTTCGCCTCCAGGAAGCGGCCGCCATCTGTAGCCTTCCTGGGTGACTCGGCTCCTTCCATCACGCTGAAGGCCACGCTGCCTCCCAGGGTGCCGGGGGAGGGGTGGGTGCGCTGGTGCTTTGAAAGGACAAGCTCTGAAAGGACAGGCTGGGCCTGGCTGCCCTCCCAGCCCTACAGCATGGAGCCCCCTCCTGGCCTCATGGCAGGCCACCTCAGCCAGGCACCTTCCCCAGCCAGCCGGTGCCCTTCCAGCCTGCCCACACGTGGTCCCCTTGGTTCCAGAAGACACTTCCTGGGGTGGATTGCTTTGTTATCCCCATTTTATAGATGGGGAACCTCTGTGGGCCTGGCCTCGTTGCCAAGACCAAGACCTTGCCTGCATGCCAGGCAAGGCTGCCTGACACCTCCCTGCCCATGCCTGTGCCTCTGAGCACTGTCTCTTGCTCCCCAGGGCTGTCTGCTGGCCACATCTCTGCCTGGGGAGGTTGGGCTGCAGCAGGTGGCCTTTCACATGCCTGTGTGGGACTGTGTGAGTCACGGGCCCCAGAGTGGGTGAGTCTGGGTCTTCCTCATCCTCTGCCAGAGTAGCTTTCTCCACAGAGCTCCGGGGGGCCAGAGCTACTAGATACGGAGACGTTGTTTGCTCCATGAGGCGATTGTCCTCCACTGGGTCCGATGTGAGTTTCTGTAAGGTCCAGATGACACGTGATGACCCTCCTGCTCTGTGCCCCTCACACTGCCCCTGTGCAGGAAAACCTGTGGTGCAGACCCCCAGGAAAACAAGCTGTCCTGGCCCAAGTCCAGCCACCCACGGGAGGGAGTCTGTGTGGACCACCAGCCCTCATTGGCTTACAGAAGTGTGTGCCTCTGGCTGGCCACTTGTCTTCACCCAGGGGAGATTTTGGCCCTACCCTTACTCTAGACACACTCTATGCACGCATGATCCAGGGGCTCTGTCTCAATCCTGCCCCCAGCTGGATGAAGCTCTTGGCCCCTGGGTCCTGGGTGCTCCTTGTGCATGCTGGCAGTCTCCAAGGCAGGTTGACTCCTGATTTGGTCAGTCCAGGAGGGGAAGTGCCTGCCACTGTGTTGTGCTGTGGGTGTGAGGTCCCTGAGTGTCAGCCTCGGAGGTGCTTGTGTCAGAAGGTGGTGGTCGGCTCAGGAGAGTGTGCTCCTGGTGCCCTGCCCACGTCCAAGCAGGTTGACTTGGCCTTGGTGCCATTGCACATGAGGGGCCTGCTCCCAGGGTGTCCATTTGGTCAGTGGTGCGACCGCCCTCTGTCCTCTGACAATGCGTCCCTGGCAGTCGGAGATGCACATGAGATATTGGCCTGGCCGGCAATTTGCACGGCCTTCCAGGGAGGGCATTAGCATATAAATAGCAGATGCAGTGCCGACCATCACAGCTGAGCACGTTTAATTTTTAGTTTATAAGATAGAATGGGTTTTTAAATGCATAGCCATCAAGCCCTGAGAGACAAATGCAGTTTGGAACTCACTTGTCTGACGAGGCCTTACATCATTTTTTTTTTAAAAGGGAAATAGACACACATAAAACTGAACAAAAGTGATTTCTTGGGTGAAAAGTAATTGAGATTGCGCACCAAGTTAATTAGATGGTACAAAATTTATTTAATGGTCCCAGCTGTATCTCCAGGCCGTGGGGCTTGGTGGGCGACCCGCTTTCTGGGCACCAAGCTGTTCTTCCCATTCCTTCGCAAATAATTAGCAACCTCACTGCCCCTACTTCTGTAAACTGATTGCGCTGTATATTTTAGTCGTTTTATTGCTTGTTTAATTATGATGGTGGAGACTCATTTTTCTAAATCCTTTTAACTGTGGGTGAGAATCAATTTGTATAAAACCAGCAGTGTCCCCCTCCGTGGCCTCCCCATGGCCACAGCCTTGGGTAGAAGCTTCTGCCAAGTAGGTGGATTGGGCTGTCCCTGGGGCTGGCTTGGGATAAGGCTTCCAATTGGCTGCAGGCTCAGGCTGCCGGTCTGGCCCCTCCCAGGCACTGAGGGCTTCACCGGTCAGGCTCCCTTCCTTCTCCCCGGGTGCTCTGCATGGTGTTTTCTGGCAGTTGGAGAATCTCAGCTCCCAGGTGGGTGGAAGCCAGCTGCCCTGGAGCAGGTCACAGGTCTGACCTCGCCCAGTAGCTCTCGGTGGGTGTGAACTCCTTCCCTGCACCTCCAATGTCCAGCCACCCTGTACAGCCCCGTGGTGGGGTGCTGTGGTGCTGCGGGCCCCCCTTGTGCTGTTTCTGTCTGGCCTAATCTGTGACCTTGAAGGCAGGTCACCACTGCTGTGGCTGAGCTCACTGGATTATTTAGTCTCTTAGAATCCAAGTGCTCAAAGGGAGTCTTCCACAGGCCTTAGACTCCCTGGGCCACGACGCTTTCTGAGGTCTCAGAGGGGGCTGTTGCTTGTCTCCATGGTGTTCTTGTCTCTGAGCAGGTCACTCAAGTACCCTGGCAGCTGGCAGCTGAAAGCTGTCTCTGCCTCTTTGGACGCAGGTGTGTTGCTGCCTGTCCAGGGCAATGGAGCACATAGATGAGCAGCAGCTCTTGCTCACAGAGGTGAAGCCAAACTTGAAAATGGATGCTTTTGTGCCAACTTTTGTATCAGCAGTGAAGTCTCTGACTTCTAGTTGCTGTAGCTCGTGTGTTACTGCCTCTGAGTAGTTGAAAAGTAAAGTGCAGGTGTGGATGACATGGTTGCTGTGGCCCAGGACGAAGCCCAGGGTCTCTCCAGAGGCAGAGGCCTCCTAGGGCATGGCCAACAGCTGCAGAGGGAGAGCAGAAAGCCAGGGCCTGATCAGTGCTTGTTTGAGGACACAGAGGAACCTAGGACTTCAAACTTAATCACAGAAATAAATGATTTTAGTTGGGGAGAAAGAAGGTATAATTCCTAATAGTTAGCTGAGCAGTTGAATATTTTTTAGAAAATGGAAATTTGATAAAAGTCCTCAGTGAAATTCAAGGGTGTGAGCAGTAAGCATAATATTTTATGAAAATGACCCCCATATTTAAACCCTGGCACTGTGTGTGCTGCATTGTAGCACCCCGTCCACATCCACCTTTTAGAAAATTAAAACACATAAATTCTGTTTAGTGTTTGATACGCACTGCACCGGCCGGAACGTAAGCCCTAAAACCTTGGGCTGCTCTCCACCTTTCATAAATTCCTGGGTAGATTCTATACAAAAATAATTTTCAGGTCCGTGGCTCATTGTTATTCAAACGTGATTGATCGTCGTCATTTGCTCAGCTCGGGAGTTAAGTGCCCCTGTCATTTCCAAAGAGCATAATTGGGACGTTTCACAGGTCAGCGGTGGAGACAGGCTTCCCTTTTGATCAGTGTTAGACTGATAACAAAAATTACAGTTTCCAATGATTAATGTCTCCCGGGCTCCCCAGATGCACAGCCATGGGCTGTGCCTAAACACAGAGCATTTGCATCTGATTATAAGTCTCCCGGGCAGGTCTCCTCGTGGGGTTGTTGAGTCTAGCCGCAATAGTCCCGTGCTGTAGTGCTGGCAGCCAGCCCCAGGGGCCACGTGTGTCCTGGGGCTGTGTGTGGGCCTTGGGGCCACGTGTGTCCTGGGGCCGTGTGTGGGCCCTAGGGCCACGTGTATGCTGGGGCCCTGTGTGTGTGTGTGTGTGTGTGTGTGTGTGTGTGTGTGTCTCCTGGGGCCACGTGTGTCCTGGGGCCGTGTGTGGGCCCTAGGGCCATGTGTGTGCTGAGGCTGTGTGTGGGCCCTAGGGCCATGTATGCTGAGGTTGTGTGTGTATCCTGGGGCCACGTGTGTCCTGGGGCTGTGTGTGTGTGTGTCCTGGGGCCACGTGTGTCCTGGGGCTGTGTGTGTGTGTGTCCTGGGGCCACGTGTGTCCTGGGGCTGTGTGTGTGTCCTGGGGCCGTGTGTGGGCCCTAGTGCCATGTGTGTGCCGAGGCTATGTGTGTGCGGGCCCTAGGGCCACATGTGCTGAGGTTGTGTGTGTATCCTGGGGCCACGTGTGTCCTGGGGCTGTGTGTATGTCCTGGGGCCACGTGTGTCCTGGGGCTTTGTGTGTGTGTGTCCTGGGGCAGTGTGTGTGTCCTGGGGCCACATGCATGCTGGGACTGGGAGGGCTCTGGGGCCACCTGTGGGAGCTGCTGGTGAGTGGCTGAGCTGGGTCAGGTGGGCACCTCAGCTCCCTGGTTCTGTCAGAAGCTGTAAATTGCTAATACTTAGCTTCCAGGGAGCATGTGGGCTCCTGCCCTGGGGGTCCACAGCCGCTCCTCTCTGATCACCTCCCTCAGGTGACCGCCAGAGGCAGGTGCCTGTGTGGAATGCCTGTTGAGCCGGAGTGTAAAAAACGAGCATGTGTGAGGACCACTGGGTGTTCCTGAGGACCCCGGCTGCCATCACAAAGGGACCTCCCTTTCTGGACGCTTTCTTCAGCCCTGTGCCTAGGTCTTGGTGGAGTCCTCACACCCTGGGGGCACAGCCCTCAGCTGCCCAGGATGATGAGCCTGGCTCCCTGGTGTGTAGGGGTCTCCCGGGAGGGGCACGTCCCTGCAGTTGCTGGTTGCTGTCCTGGCATCCTGTCCTGGGTGTGAGGGCTCCTGGGGATGGAGGCTGTGGCTTAGGGGCTGGTTCTGCTGTGCTGCAGGTGCTCGCCGAGGTGAGTGTCTGCCTCTGTACTGTTTGCTCTAGTGAGCTGATGGGCACCGGGCATTGCTATCGGCAGGACCTCGCAGCAGCCCCGGGGCAGGCCGGGACTCCTGCTTTGGGGATGTCAAGGACTCCATGGGCCTCTGGTGCCACCTGCTGAGGTGCCCAGAGCCCGCCTTCCTCTGGGGAAAGCAGGCCTCCTGCTCCCCAAGTTGTGGGTGGCGGCACTGTGCTCCTGGGACTCAGGCCAGCTGCCACATCAGGCAAGGGAGGTAGCCTCGTCGGGAGCTCCTGCATGATGTGTTGTCCAGATGACTGCCTAGCGGGTGGATGGCTGCTACCTGTACTGCAGGGAGAGACGTTTGCCGTCCACCTGCCTGTGATTGCTCTGTGCAAGGATGGGGCAGCATGTGCCAAAGCATGGAGTGGCAAGGCCAGAGGCAGTGGTTCAGAGGTGCTGAGATTTTAGGGACAAGAATCACCCTAGCCAGTGCGGTGGCACGTGCCTGTGATCATGAGTTCAAAGCCAGCCTAAGACGCTAAGCAGCTCAGTGAGACTCTGTCTCTAAATAAAATGGGAAACAGGGCTGGGATGTGGCTCAGTGGTGGAGTGCCCTGAGGTCAATCCCTGGTCCCCCGCCACCAAAAAAAAGGAAAAAAAAAAAAAGAATCAGCCCTGAGATAACCTTGGGTGGACTGCAGTCACTTGATGCTGACGCCCGGCTGCTGTGGAGGGGGCTGGGGCAGTGGGCGGCAGTCCCCATGCGCGTACACAGGTCTGGGTGTCCTTATTTGTTTTTGGTGGTGTTTCCACAGACTGAAGCCCCAGGGGATGAGGAGGATGAGGACGACGAGGACTTTGTGGAGGTGCCGGAGAAGGAGGGGTATGAGCCCCACATCCCTGCCCATCTGCGGGCTGAATATGGTAGGCTGCAGCTCAGGGGGCAGTGGGAGGCGCCTGGGGAGAAGCCCCTGCTCTGGGAGCTGCTGCCCAGTGACCTCACAAGAGGTGGGGCTGTGGGGCCCCGCCTGTCCTGCTGGCTACGCCACAGATCCCTGAGCGTTCACTGCTTCATTTAAGGGTGGGCTCCCCGGCTCCCTTGCAACCTGCCCTGAGGCAGGCTCTCATCCCAGGAAGTCCTGCTGCAGGCCCCTCTGCCCAGCCCTGGGCCAAGGTTCTCACCCCACAGTGGGCCTGCTAGCTCGAGAGGAGGCAGGTCCTGGCCCCGCCCTGCAGCTCCTGGGTGCTCCTGCCCAGCAGTGGCCTCAGGAGAGTGTTCCAAGAGTGAGGTGGGCACCTCCCTGAGCAGACGGATGCCCTCTTGTGCAGGCTCCCTGGACCCAAGGTGTCGGGGGGACTGGTTCCAGCAGCTCAGGAGCCATGTCTGGTGGTGGCAGGGAGTCAGGGGGAGGCCTGGGCCCCTCAGGGTTGGGGGTAGCCATACCACATGCTCAGGCTTTTATCCCTTAGGGATGATTCCTGGGGATGTCACAGTAACCTGCGTACCTCTTGGACACTAAAGGTGGACAAGGCATCTGGGCCAGGACTGTGACGTCCACAGCAAGGCCACATTCCAGGGCAGGGGCAGCCTCGAGTCCGGTGGGTTCCAGGGCCCCAGGGCACACACAGGTGTCACGTGTTCACATCCAGAGCAAGGAACTGAAAACCGGACCCCTAGCTTTTATGGTGAAATTGACAAGTTGGTTTGAACTGAAGTCTGTGAGATGAAACGTAGATTTGTTAAAAGAATTTAGATGATTAGGCAACTCGCGTGTGAAGACATGACCCATTAGGGGTGTCATGCCAAATTAGCACAACCACATGCTAATGCCCTCCACTCAAACAGCTGTGTGCCCACACGTCCGCTTCTGAGCTGGGCAGGGCCAGGCGGGCTGGGCACCTGGGGTTCAGTCGTGTGAGTGTGGTAGGGAAGCTCCCTCCCTGACCTCACTGGGCGCCTGGCCTGGCCTGGCCTGCTTTGCGGAGGACCTGCCTCTGCCTGGTGCTATCCTGCCCTGTGCCCCGGCCCGCCTTCCTCCATGGGCCAGACCCCACCCCAAGCCTGGGCTCCAGCTGTGCCTCCTCCAGGCTCCTTAGCCATTGAGCCCCCTCTGACCTCCCACCTGCCCCCAGCCGCCACCCTCACCTGCCATTCTTTTCGAATACCAGTGTCCACCTGAAGTGGCCTTTGCCATCTCCTGATTACTGCCTTTCCTCCGTGGCCAGAGCCTCTCTTGGGTGGCCACAGCCGAGGCCCACACTGACATGGGTACTGGGAGGTGCCTGTAGCCTGCTGCTGGGTGCTGTGGCCACCCTCCCCAGCCCACCCTACCTTGCCCTCTGCTGGACCAGGCCCTAGATAGCAGAGAGGCACTGGTTCAAGTGTGGATACCTCTGAGGCTGTTGGGTCTGTGACGGAGGGCCACAGGGACAGGCGAGGCAGAGACAGACTGTTGGCTCCTTCCTTTCTCTGGTCCTGGGCCAAGGACCCAAGGTCTCTAAGCAGCCACAGCACCTGCCTAGGCTCTTGTCTGCTCAGATATCCTCTTACCTGCCACGTGGCCTTGTTCCCCTCCCTGAGCCAGGGCTGGTCCTGGAGTCTGCCAGGGAAACCGGCAGCTGGAAGTGACTCTTGGCTTGGGTCACGCCAGACTTTTCAGGGTCTGGGCCTCTGTGTCCCTGTTGGTGCTTCTGAGTCCTCAGGGTTAGTTTGCAGCCTCTAACTGGCAGGACCCGCCTCTCACGCAAGCCTTTGTCCTGCAGTGGCTCGCAGCGCAGGGCTCGGAGTAGGACGCAGCAGAGGCCATTGTCCTCCAGCCCAGAGTGACGAGGTTCCCTCTGGCCCGTGGCTTGCGAGTGGCCAGTAAAGTGGCACGACCACAAAGGCAGACTGTCATGGAGTGCTCCCTCAACGGGCCTTTAACTGTCCCTCCAGGCAGTGGGCACGTGGGGGCAGGGCCTTGCTGACCACCAGTGGAGAGTGATGGGCACCAGCAAAGTCCTCGGCCCTCCTGTGTGGAGGTGGCCTGTGTCCCCCTTGTCTGCTGGCCAGTGGAGTCCATCCAGTGAAGGGGTTGAGCTGTGAACAGCCAGGGGCCTCTGCCAGGCTCCTTGGGACACCTGCCCAGTGCCCCTGCGAGGAGGCCCAGCTGCACGGAGGTGTCTCAGGGGCCCGGGGCTCTTGTGCCTGCCTGACCTCCAGCACAGAGGAGCAGGGCATGGCACCCTGCTGGGGTGTGTTGGTGCAGAAGAGGACGCAGCCTCAGCAGGGCCTTGGTTCCTGAGCTGTGGGGAGATCCATCACACAGAAGTGGTGACCCATTGCCTGTGCCTGGGCTCCTGGCTCTGTCCTGCCCGCCTGCTTGGTGACTACCCCTGGTCCAGGCTGTGTGGGCAGGCCTGTTGCGGGGGGGGGGTTTGGCAAGACCCTGGCATCTCCTTGGTGCAGGTTCACCCCTTCCCTTGGGAAGGCTTACAACATTGTCTTTGGCCTTAACAGACAGGGGCCTAGGGGTCTGGGCCAGTGCTGCTCCCCCTGCTCTCCCCAGAAGCGTCAGGTGGAGGCCGATGGGAGAGGGACGCTGTGCAGCGAGGTGCTCTGACTCTGGTTCAGGGTCTTGCTGTCTGCCCGGCCCTGGGCTGCACTGCGGAATCAGGAGGGGCCAGCAGGGCCCCTTCAAGCCTGGGGCTCAGCTTCAGCTGGTCAGGTTGCCAGTGAGGCCTGGAGCCAGGGCAGGGCGGTGGGGACCCCCTTGGCCTCCTGTGGGAAGGATGGCAAACGGCCCGGGAGCTCTGGAGACGCAGGCCAGGCAGGAGGTGTGCCTGGGCGAGCCCAGTTCATGATACTAGTTTATATTCTGTGGCTGTTTTTTCAATTAAACGTGGGTGAATCTGAAGTAGTTAGATTTAGTCTAAACCCACACAGCCGAGGAGACCGGGGCTCTTTTTCTTTCTCGTTTCTTTCTCTGAATTTTCACTGAGGGGCTTTTATCTTTCCCTTAATCCTACCATTTCTGTCAGGACATAATCTCTTTCTCAAATTTACATTTTAATTACAAGGCCAGTGGAGCTAGGTGGAATCAATAATGTCAGCGCTGGGCAGCCCAACTTTGTGCGGAGCCCAGCCTCTCCATTTCCTGCTATCGATTGATCTCTCTGCACTGTCTGCTTTAGTGCTTCAGGCAAATAGGTGCCACTTGGCCAATTTAAACAAAAACAGGGATTTGGACATTTTTATGATTCTTTTAAAAGCAACCGTGGGAGTAAACTTGAGCCCAGATACTGTACTGAGTCAGCCGAGCAGAGCTGGGGCACGAGGTGGGTCGGTCGAGGACTCTGCCCTCATCTGCTGAGAACCGCGTGCTGGACCGAGGAACCTTCTGTGTTTTGGGTCTGCTCTGGAGGTGTGTCAGCAAGATTGATTCCCCAGGACAGTGCAGGCGGGGCCCCAGCCCCGAGTGTTTACCCTGCTCTACACGCTTACCCATCTTCTTAATGGTCTAAAACAACAAATCAATGAAAAATATATTTCATTCTTGTAACTCTTAGGAATTCTCCTATTGATCTCTGGGCTGCGATTGTATCTGTCCAAGTGTCACATTGTTCTCTTCTCAGTCCGGCTGCCTCGCAGTGTGCGGTGTTGGCCAGCTGGGCAGTGTGGTCCCTGGGGAGGCCGTGCTGCGGGTCTTGGGGCTTTTGGATGCCTGGGAGTGGGACCTGGGCATTGTGATGGTGCTGGAGCCTTTGGGCTGAGATCCGTGGTGGCCACAAGTGACTGGCAGCCCCCAGGGACCCTGAGCAGCTCCTCAGTGTTCTCTGTGGGCATCCAGGAGATGGGAGTGTGCTGGGTCCTACAGCAGGGCTGGCACGTGTTTCCCCAAGGGGCCAGAGAGCGAGTGTCCGACCCAGCTCCTGAGCACGCCAGACAGCACAGGGCGGGAGGGCATAGCTGTGTGCCAGGGGGCTTTATCTACAGAGGAAGGCTGCAGGCGGCTGTAGCCCTTGTCTGCTTACCACCGTGATGTCCTGAAGAGCAGCTGGCCACGTCTGTGTCCTGTCGGGCTGCCCTCTGCTCAGGAACCTCGGGCAGTGGTGCTGGCCTCCACCTTGGCGTTGACTCTTTCGCACACAACATCCACGTTTCCTACACATCGACACGTCCCTTCTGTTTTTGTTTAACATTTCTTAGTCATAGGTGTACACATTCCTTGTTATTTTATGTGGTGCTGAGGTTGGAACCCAGTGCCTCACACACACTAGGCAGGCGCTGCCACTGAGCCTAGCCCCTGCCCGATGGGTCCCTTCTCTTGAGGTCCTTTGAACTTAAAATCAGTTTCCCTGGTGTTGAGCCGCCATCTTGGCTGTCTCTTGGTCCTTCCTGCACAGAGACTCTGATCCTGCCTTTATGCACTCCCCGTCGCTGGTCTCGGGAGGGACTTGGGCCAGGGGGTGGCCACAGCTCTGTCCGGAGGTGATCTGTCGGCTGGGCTGCAGCCCTGGGCTGGCAGCCACAGCACCTGGACGTGCTGCCCGGGCTGCTCCGCGCACCACACGTCCCCTCAAAGTCGCTGCTGCTGTTGGTTTACTTCTTTTCCCACCTTTGTTAAAATGTTTTTTTCTGTTGCTTCTAAACCCTTTTTTATCTATTATTTCTGATGATTGTTTCTAATTTTAAAAAGTATTTTTAAAAAGTGTGTGTTGTCCCCTGCTGTGTGCTCCCTGCAGTACCGGGGTAGAACTCGCCCTGCACACTCAGCTCACACTGCCCCCCATCCACCCTTGGTTTTTATAGCCTCTTGATTTCTGTTCTTGCCCCCCCCCCCAGGACTAGTGGCTGAGCACCCTCCTGCCCCGGCCTCCCTGTCTGGTAGGTGTGGACGGAGGGGCAACAGACTCCAGAGCATTCCCTGGGCCCTTCCTGCCCTGAGGCTCCCGTCGAGGAGGCCCTGGTCCTCACTGCAGGCTGAAGCCACAGCCCAGCGGGTGGAGAGTCAGGCTGGAGGCCCTCAGCCGTGGGAGCAGCCCTCCCCGGCCCTGCGCACCGTGCTGTTGACATGCTGCTGCAGTAGGACTGTCCTTCTTCAGATGTGTGGCTTTTTCTCTGATGTCCTTAAACTCCCTGTAGAATTTCCAGCCAGTTTCCCTCCATCTCCAGGAAACGAGGCTCACCATTTCCCAACTCTTCTCCACAGCTCTTCCTTTTCTTTCCTTGATTCTGGAAATGAGGACCTTGGTACCTGCACAGGTGCCCTTGGCTCTCACTGCAGGAGTGTGTGTCCCCCAGAGGGGTCAGAGTCCCTGCTGCCCTTCTGCCCTGCAGCAGCCTTACTCCAGTCGGCTCGCTCTAGTGCTGGGCTTCCCCTGTCCACTGGCTGCTGCAGCTCCTGCTGGGGGAGGTGGCATTCAGAGACCCCCACTGCCCTGCCCGAGCACCCTTGTGAGCACCTCAGTTGGCGGGTGCACGGGGGAGGGCAGGCCGTGCCTCTGGGGTCCTAACCTCTACCTGCCCTGTGCCCCACCTGGGAGAGAGGCGAGCAAAGGTCAGGTGGGCCAGACCGAAGTCCTTGCCTTGGTATGGGCAAGAGGGATGGACAGGGCCTTGAGGGATAGCAGGGGTGGCGGGGTTTGGTGGTGGTGAAGGATCTGACCTGTTCCGCCCCAGGGATGTAAGAATGGACATGGCTGCAGAAGCCAGTGCGCCACTGTGCCCATGGCCTTGCCAACCTGGTGCCAGGGGCTGTGCTCCAGGGTGGCATTCTACTCATTGGGAGCTTGCGTCTGACTGGCAGCCACAGGGCGGGTATCTCTAGGCCCTGTCCAAGAGGGGGAGGTGACAGGAACCACTTCTCAGGGCCTTGGAGTATCATGGGCTCTCATGTGCAGGGTGCGTCCCAGTTGCTTGGGCACCGAGAGGTGGCAGGTGCTCACAGGATCTTCCCAGGTCATGGAGTGGAAGTCAGCAGTGGACATGTGTCTGTTTCAGGGCTGGAGCCCAAAGCCCCTCTGCAGGCTCTGGAGAAAGATGCAGCTGCACAGGGCTCACAGGCGAGGAAGAGGACGAGAAGGGACGAGGAGGCGTCGGACCCCACCTCTGCTGCTGCCCAGCTGTGGCAGCCCCAGGACTGCCTGCCTCCTGTCCTACCCTCCTCTGTCAGGTGATCCCAGATGTCCCACTTTGTTGGGCCACTGCCTGGCACCGTCACTGACTACCCAGAGCACCAGTGGGGTACAAGGCCTTCTTTGGCTCCCTTGAGGGCACCTGGGTTGTGCAGCCCTGGGTAGTGGGCACCTGCTGACCTCTGTGTGGTCAGGGCTGCTCAGAGAGCTGGCACAGTGGGGCAGGACCCATAGACGTCCTCTAGACACAGCTCATCCCCAGAGGCCCTGAAGCTGGACCACTGCTCAGGTCTTGAGAGACAGATGTCAGGTTTCCCAGCCAGAGGAGGGCCGGAGAGCAGAGCAGTGCTCGGCTAGGACAAGGCTGCTCACAGGACTGATGTGGCCGAGGCCCTGGCTCCCTGGTCTCACCTTGGGTCTGGGCTGCGCCCTCTCCAGGAGTGACAGCACATTCTGCTCTGCTCTCAGGGCTCCACTGGGACCAGAGGAGGCCCAGAAACTGGCGGAAGAGCGGGCCCGGGCGCCCGTTGTACCCTTTGGAGTGGACCTGTGCTACTGGGGCCAGGAGCAGCCGGTGACCGGGAAGATCCTCAGGTGAGTCCAGGGTACCTGTGGCTCCAGAACACATGGTCCTCCCTGAGCCTGGCTGCTGCTCCATTGGGAGCTGCCCAGGGAGGCTGGGCCTTGTTATAGACAGGGACTAGCCAGAGAGCACTCGCAGGGGCTCTGGGATGCAGGCCTTTAGAGAGCCCAGCTTCACCTCTTGATCCAGCGCAGTCCCGGTTCTCACGGGATGCTGAGCAGGTCCCATCACTGCCCGGCCAGCCAGAGGCACCCTGCCTACCCCAGTGGGACCTGGGCTAGCAGGTGGGCCAGGGCTGACAGGGCAGGGAGGCTCACTGGGAAAACAGGTGGAGTCTTACCGGGCTTGGCTAGGGTGGCTTGAGGGCAGTGGAGGCCAGCTCTCGGGAGGCAGAGGGCTGGTGATGCCGCTGTGACCCCAGGGCTCATACCTGGCCATGTGGCCTGTTCCTGTGAGGATGGATGGCCTCGCACTGGGGGCCTGCAGAAGGGGCTGCCCTGGGTTGGCAGAAATGGCTTAGCCACTGACCAGCAGAGAATTGTTTGTGGGGTCTTCTGCCTTGGGGCCCAGAGCCAACTTCCAGGCCCCTCAGCTTCTGCAGCAGCCTGAAGGTGTTTGGAGAATGCTGAGCCCATGGCTTAGACCTGTGGTCCAGGGGCATGTGGATGCTGCCTCCATCCTGCCTGCCCTCCTCCGCTGCAGGGTGGGGGCGGGCAGGCCAGGCGGAAAGAACAACAGGGCAGGGAGGTCTGTAGGAGGCACTCTGGGAGCTGTCCCTCCACATATTGTCACCAGGTAGCTAAAGGTCAGTGCCTAGCCTCAGAGTCCAGCCAGTGGCCACTAGCCTGGCGGGGACTGAAAGGCTTAGCTGCTGCTCCTCCTTCAGAAGCCCCACACCTGGAGGCAGCACTGCCCTCCTCCCGCCTGCCTGACCTGGTTCCCCCAGGGCCCCTTGCAGTTAGGGTCCAGGACAGTCAGGCCTGAGCATCTTGTTGGGAGAACCCAGTGGGTCCTAGCTGGCCCCAAGCCCCACTGGCTAGGCCAGCGTCTCATTCACCTGTGTTCCGTGGGGGCGGGGCCCTTGCCTTGGACCACGCTGCAGACCCCCAGATGGTATTGGCCAGGGCAGGCCTTCTAGGGCTAGTCTCCCCAGTGGGTACCCTGCTCAATGCCCGTGCTCCTGCCTGCAGGCTGGTGGGCAGGGCGGGACAGTCCTGCCTCTGTTGTCCTGGGGCCCTGAGGGCAGAGCACAGAGCAGGAGGGCAGGTATGACCGTCCTCCAAGGTCCTCTGCAGATGAGCGTCAGGAGACTTGGTACACCGGCAGGTCTGAGTCTCAGCACCGTTTCTGGAAGCCCCGGGAGGTAGAAGAGGAGGTGGACAGTGCAGATGTACCTGCCGTGCTCCAGAGCCGCCGCATCACTTTTGCAGGGAAGTTTGAACCTGTGCAGCACCAGTGCCGGGCCCTGAGACCTGATGGCCGGCTCTGTGCGCGCCAGGACCGGCTGAAGGTGAGGCTGTGGCCTGAGTGTTCTCTGGATGTGAGGCTGGGCCAGGACAGGGCTGTGGGCATTTGGGAGCCTGCAGAAGGGGCTGCCCTGGGTTGGCAGAAATGGTTTAGCCACTGACCAGCAAGAATTGTTTGGGGGGTCTTCTGCCCTGGGTCCCAGAGCCAACTTCCAGGCCCCTCAGCTTCTGCAGCAGTGCAGTCTGTGTGGACTCAGAGCCCTGGGAAGGGAGAGGTACACCCTGGCCCACAGCTGCCCACTTTTACCCCAGGCTGGAGGGAGCAGGGAGAAACAGGTAACAACTGACTGGAGGCCTCAGGCTCCTGCAGCTGTAGCCCCAGATCTGGGAGGACCAGGGCCCCTGCTGTGCACCTCCCAGGACTCACATCTGAAGGTCACGCGACTGCAGGGCAGTGTGTCCCCCCCAGAGGCACTTGTGCCCAGGGAGCTGCCCCACCTCCTGGCCATCAGTCTTTTTGTGCTTGCTTTGCAGTGTCCTTTCCATGGGAGGATCATCCCCAGAGATGACGAGGGGCGGCCCCTGGACCCAGAGGACAGGGCCCGGGAGCAGCAGCAGCCACCACACAAGCAGTCACGCCCAGGTAGGTGTGGGGGCGGGGTGCCAGGGCACAGCCTAGGGCACCACAGGGTCAACCTGGGTGGCTCTTCACAGTCCTCAAGCCACAGCCTCCGCTGTAGTAACAGGCAGGTTGGGGACCAGCACCTGCAAGGCCACTGTAGGGATATGGACACCATAAGCCACCAAGCTGGCAGTTGCAGGGGCAGGTCCTGCATCCTGCATCTCTCCTCAGTGGAGGGTGGAGGCAGGAGAGGGAGCAGGCCGAGAGCAGGAGGCCAGCTCGTTTCTCCTGCTCTCCGTCCTCCTTCCTGATGGGGCCGTTGCCTTGTCCCCTCCAGAGATACCTGTCCCTCCTGCCCTCAGGGCACTTGCTGCATCCTGGCCGCAGGAGTTGCTGGGTGCCCAGGTCCCCAGGGCTCCTGAGCAGCAGGGCCTCGGTGAGCATCCACAGACGGCTGTGCTTCCTGGAGCCTCGGCAGGCCTCCCTGCCTTTCCACGGCTAGGGTCCCCCACCCTGGCAGCTCTGAGCTGCTGGCTGTCTCCATGGCATTCAAGCCTGGGCTGTAGCCCCAGGCCCTCCCTCAGAGGGGCACGCGTCTGCAGGCCCACTCAGCAACTTCTTGCCCTTGGGTCCTAAGGCACAAATGCTGGGTTTCAGCCTGACACCAGCCGGTGCCTGAGCCCTGGGCAGTGGGAGGGCCCTGACCTGTTCATCTGCAGGGCAAGGCCTTCCCTGGTGGTCACACTCAGGAGCAAATTAAGTGCCTATTTCTGTGTCGAGCCTGAAGAGTCTGATTTCCAGCCCTCGGTGGCTTGTTAACAAACAGGTATCAGGCCGCGGCTGCCCCGGTGCTGGCCAGTCAGATGTGAAATAGCGTCTCTTTACTAACTGCAGTATCGATCCCGCCTCCCGCACACACGGGGCAATTTTCTTTTCCCTGGTGCTAACCTCAGTGACAATGCACGTGGCGCTGCAGGGCCCGTCAGCGCCCAGGAAGGCCGTGCGGCCGAGGCGTCTATTGATTTTCTTCAAAGGCTTTTAAATTGCTCCTTCATTTTCCTGAGGTGCTCATTCCGTCTCCACTGGATGCTGGCATTTTTTCCTTGTGTTTAAACAATTGCTCCATTCACCGGGTTCCTAAACTGTGACGCCTTCTTATTACTGGGAGATAAACTGTTTAGACAGTTTTCCTTAATCTTGGATTAATCGTCCCTGGATCTGAATTGTGCAGCCCCGAGTTCCTTCACTTCAAAAAAATCCTCCTGGGGAGGCCACACCATCTGTCTGGGCACAGCCTCTCCCTCCATGGCCGTGCCCACCACAGCCTGGCCTGGCTGGCTCCCTGTGTCCGGGCACTGCTCCCTAGCCCTGTGGGCATGTGGTGCCGGGGTGAGCACCCTACTGCAGGCCAGGTCCACCTGTAGGGCTAGGCATGCTGGGATGGCCTTGCCGCCACTGCCCTGGTCTGGGATGGCATTTCCACACCAGGCGGCCCAGGGTCTGGTCATCCATCTCCACATCCTGCAGAGGCAGGCCAGCAGGAACTGGTGGGGAGCTGCCAAGATCCCCGCCCGGCCCCCAGGCCAGAGTGGGCCTGCACTCGGCTCACTTCCAGCAGCCCTCTGAGTAGGGCTCTGCTCATGCACTGGGTGTGGCCTGACCCTGGGGAGGCTGCCCAGCACGGCTGGGTGGCACACGGTACCCAGTCCTCTCAGGAAGGGCACCCTGTTGGGCTGAATTCCTACCTGTTTCTGAGACCCACAGCCAGGCTGTGTGTGGACGAGTGAAACACAAGCTCTCCACTGCCTGTCGTCCTGGGCCTTCTCTCACCTTGGTCCTGTTCAGCCTGTTAACAGCACCACAGTGGCTCAGTGGTCACTGTCCAGTTTGCAGTCCAGTAATTACCCTCCAGAGGCACTGAAACCCTCACTTCCAGCCTTGTTTGACAGCCTGCCTCGAAGCTCATGGGTATACCACGAGGGCCCTCAGATGCCTGACCTCGCTCCCCCTGCCTGTCTGGGCCACAGGGGTCCTTGGGAGCTCAGGCACCTCGGAGGGTTGTGGAGTCCTCTGCAGTCTGTGGGGCCTTGCCGGATGCAGAGGGAGTAAGCTCTACCCGGTCCTCACCCCGGTCCTCACCCGGTCCTCACCTGGCTCCACTGTGGGAAGCCTGAGCTGGAGCCTGGCCCCACCCCTTCAGGACAGGGCCCTAGGCTCCCCTGGCCCCAGCTGGAAGCTTCTGCCCGAGCCCCTCCACCCCAGGAGGGCTTCTGAACCCTTGGGTCTTATCTAGACTGGCAGGACCCAGAGTTCATGAGGGATGTGGAGGCAGCCACAGGGGCAGACCTGGGCTCGTCGAGGTACAGCCAGAAGGGCAAAGGGAAGCGGAAGAAGCACCCCAACCTAACGGACCTGCGAGAGCGAGCCAACACCAGCCGGGCCTGCCTCAGGAAGAAGGTCTTCGCCAAGTAAGAGCTGCTCGCCACGCCTCCGGGACCCCTGGTCTGGGTGTTGGAGGAGGGCCTCTGGGGCCGCCTGGACCTTCTCCCTGGCAGCCTCCAGCTCCAGCCAGGGGCAGGGCCATCCCAGGGGTGGTTAGGGGCCCAGCTGCAGCTGGGCGCCCTGAGCATTCTCCCAGGGAGGCTGCTATCCTTGCTTTCCGGTGGCTTTGGGCAAGGGCCAGCTGCTTCAGAATAGACCCTTCATGCCCTACCTGGCTGACCCCAGAGGGCCAGGCCCTGGCCTTGCCGTGCCCCAGTCAGTGCCTGCACTCTCTGCAGGGCCTCAGGGAGGACAGCCACTGCAAAGGCTGGCAGATGGATCAGCCCCTGCCGCCTGATTCCAGGCCCAGGTACGCGGGGGCTGGCCTTCCCGCTGCTCAGCAGAGTGCGGCCACTTGGACCTGCATCAGCCTACTCTGCTCAAAGAGGACCTGGAGTGTTGCTATAAGGCCCACGAAGCCACTGCCTCCCCCTGAGGTTGATGCCAGGCCCTGAGGGGCCTGCCTGGCCATGCCCACTGCCCCTGTAAGCCTCTTGCCTGGGAGCGCCTGGAGTGCTTGGCTCACCAGGCAGGGAAGGCTCTTGGTGTTGCCAGCATCTGGCCTGTGGGGTCAGCAGAAACAGGGCTCCCTTGGCAGTGGGGGCCTGAGGGGCTGCCAGAGGCACCTGGGTGGGACTGCTTTGGGAGGCTCAGGGTATAAGGCTGGTGTCCAGTGGGTCAGTCAGGTGTGAAGGGCTCTTGGATGCCTCTGCCTGGGAGCAGTGGAGGCCTAGTGATCCGTTCCGGCCTCCTTCCTGCTTCCTCCTGGGGACAGTGAGACCTGTGGTGGATGCAGGGCCTCAGAGCCCACTACTCACACAGCTGCGTGGCCTCGAGTCTGCCACAGAAGGAACCTCAAATGACCTCCACAGCCTTGCCTTGAAGGGAGAGCTAGTGGCAGTACCTGGCAGAGTTCAGGGCTCCAGGCCCAAGAAGTGTCCCTGCTTTATGGCTTCAGGCCCTGCTGGTGCCAGTCCTCAGGCACCACGGCCCCTGAGCTGGTCTGTGGGGCAGCCTGTGTCTTGCCTGGCATCGGGCAGCAAGCCTGTGGCCACTCAGGCCTCTTGCCTTCCTCTGTGTGTCTATCACGCATTCCCCAGCTGCACACGCCCCCAGAGCTGCTCTCCATGAGGTTAGGGCGGGCTGTGCCCTCACTCCTGGGCGCAGCTAGTCCTGGCAAGATCAGGGATCCTGATGCTGCCTTCTTGGCCCCCGGGCGAGGCCTTCTTCCCCAGGGCAGGGCCCCTGCTTGGACAAACGCACAGCCATCCAGAAGCAGTGCCCAATCCCGAGAGCCCCGCTGGAGCCTCCCTGACCACGTGTTGCCTTGCTCTCCCCACAGGGCAGCTGTGCGAAGAGTGGTCACTGCCATGAACCAGGTGGACCGGAAGAAGCATGAGAAGTTTGCAAACCAGTTTAACTATGCGCTGAATTAGAGGCTCTGCCGTGGCCCCTGATCGTCAGCTCTTCTTCCTCTGCCAGCACAGGGAGGGAGTGTGGGTGTCCATCTGGGAAGGGGCCTTTCTTGTGTGTGGTCAACATCAGGGAATGGTGTGCCAAGATGCCCTGCAGTGGTGGCCTTCACCTGCCTGGGGGCCACCACCACCTGGTTGCTACGTGTCCCCTGTGGGGCATCCTGTGAGTTCTTTTGAGCCTGTGCACTGGGCAGTGCGGTCAGAGCCCATGGACGGGCCCACGGTGGGCAGAGCAGCTCTGGGAGGCCCACGCTCTGTCACTGTGCCCGCAATGGGAACTCAACCCTAGTGGAGGCCAAGTCCAGGCTTCGGTGGCCCTAGTTCCCCCGCAGGGCTGCTGAGGAGGCCCCTGCCCCCTGCGGAGTGTGGCTTCAGGGGCAGTGCGGGCTCACGCGGCTGCACTCCAGAGCACTCTGCTGCCCTACAGGAGCCGCTGGCCCCTTCCTGCCCGGGTCTGCCTCTGCCTTCTGGACATTTCAGATATGGAGTTGTTCACAGGTGGCCTTCGTCGCGCTACTGCCCCTTGGCGGATGTTGTCAGACCTCCATCTGTGGCACCTCAGTCCTCCTTCCTTTGCACCACCTGGAGCCGAGAGGCTCCTCGGGTGTTCCTCTTTTGACCTTTGGGGTAGTCCCACGTTTTGGCCGTTGGGAATAGCACTGCTGTGAGCGTGTGTGGACAAAGGTGGACAGAGGTTGTCCACACGAGGGATACACCAGGGGGCATAGTGACTCCATGCCCCACCTTTCAGTGAACTGCCAGGCCCCCTTCCACGGGGAGGGTCTCCATCCTGCACCCCACCAGCAGCCCGCGAGTCCCGCTGGCCTGCTTCCTTACCAAGCTCAGGGTCACCTGACTTTTTAGTTTCTCGCAGTCTTTGTAGACGTGAAGGGTTTGCTCGTGTTCAGATTTGCATCTCTGTAATAACCAACGTTGAGCATCTTCTGTTCTTATTGGCCATCTGTATGTCTTTTTTGGAGAAATGTCTACCCAGATCTTTCCCGTCTTTAATGGGGTATGTGTCCTGTGTTGTGAGAGTTTTGCAGAGAGTCTGGATACCAGGCCCTTGATACTTGCTGATACCTCTGTCTCCTGCCTTTTCACCTTCCCGTAGGATCTTTTAAGAGTCATTATTTGTTGAAGTCCAACATGTGTGTCTTTTTCTTTTGTTGCTTGTGCTCTTGGCGTCACGTCTGTGATGCCATTGCTCATTTCAGGTCACAAAGATTCGCTCTTCAGTTTTTTTCCTAAGACTTTCCTATTTTTAGTTTTTAGTCCGGTCTTGGGTCCATTTTAGGCTGAGTTGTGTAAGGTGTGAGGTGGCCCAGCCTCCTCCTCTTGCACCGTTTGTTGAGAAGCCTGTCCCCTGGGCCTGCCTGGCACCCTGCTGGCCCCCAGTCTGCAGTCCTCTCTCCGGCCGGCCGGCAGCCCTTTACTGCTGCGGTGCTACGGCTTCGGTAGATTGTGTATTTGGTGAACATGAGTCCTTCAGCTTTGTTCTGTTCAGTGTTTTTGGCTATTTTGGGGTCCTTTGCATAGAATGAATTTTAGGATTAGTTTGTGAGTTTTGGGGGAAAAAAAAACCCTACAATTTTGATAGAGATTGTATACAGTCTATAGATCATTTTGGGAAATAGTCCCATCTTGTCTTCTGAGTCATGAATTTTTGATACCTTTCCATCTAATTGTCTTTAGTGTGTTTTACAGAGTTTTTATGAGTGTTCATACAAAATTGAAGCTGGCTGCAGTGGTGCATACCTATAACCCCAGTAACTGGGGAGGCTGAGGCAGGAGGATTTCAAGGCCAGCCTCAGCAATTTAGTGATGTTGGGGAGCAGACAGATGTGAGTGGTGGGAACAGGAGGTTAAGAGGATGACTCTATAACATGGGCCCACTGTGCCCACCCCCACATGCTTTATTTTCTAAGAAGCAATTTACCTGCAACCTTGCCTGGCCGAAGTGGACAGGATGTGGCACATTTCTCAGGAAATTACTTGTTACCTGCAGGAGAAATGCAGGCTGAAAATAATGTTGATGATGGGGCTGGGGCTGAAGCTTAGTGGCAGAGCGCATGACCCTTAGTATCACATAGAACACCTGAATAAAATAAAGGCATTCTATTCATCTACGACTACAGAAAAAATAACAATGTTGATGATGAGGGCGCGGTGGCCACGCTGGTCATCCCAGTAGCTTGGGAGGCTGAGGCAGGAGGATCATAAGTTCAAAGCCAGCCTCGGCAACTTAGTGAAGCCCCAAGCAATATAGTGAGACCCTGCCTCTAAACACAAAAAGGGCTGGGGGTGTGGCTCAGTGGTTCAGTGCCCCTGGGTTCAATCCCTGATGTATTAAAAATGAAATTAAGAATTTATGGTTAAAAATTCAATTAGAAATAGTGAGCATGGGCCAAGGTGACCTCGAGTTATAGCAGTGGGTCTTGAAAGATGATGTCATCTGTCAGTCAAGGTGGACTTGGGTGGGACTCTCTGGAAACTTCTCTGGATCCCAAGTAAAACTGGAGCCTTGAGAGTGTCCCTGTCCCTTTTCCTGGACCTTTCTACCCATCGTGGGACTGGGGCCTGCCCTCCTCCTGCTCTGAGGAGCCCTGCCCTGGAACAGCAAGACCCTGCAACTCAGTGGGACCCTGTCTCAAAAAGTGAAGGGGCTGGGGACCCGGGTTCCATCCTCAGCACCCGTAGAAATGAAGGCATGGTGTTGTGTCCTTCTACACCAAAAAATAAATATTAAAGATAAGTAAGTGAAAAATAAAAAGGGGTGGGGATGCAGCTCAGAGATTAAGCACCCTGGGTTCAATCCACAGTGCCAAAAAAAATAATAAATCATTCCTAAGTGTTCTTTTTGATGCTATTATAAATTTGTTTGCTCTCTGAGTTCCATTTTCCAATTATTTGTTTGTTGCTAATGTATAAAATACAACCGATTTTTGCATGTTGATCTGTATCCTTGCTAATAAGCTAGTCTGTTGGTTCTAAGTGTGTGTGTGTGTGTGTGTGTGTGTGTGTGTTTTCCAAACACTTTTTTGTGCACAGTCGTGTCATCTGCAAACGGAGATCTTTTCCTTCTTCCATTGCAGGCTGGGTGCTTCCTGTGCCTGTGTCTTGCCTCATTGCTGGGCTGGCACCTCCTGCCTGGTGAGGACCAGACCTGACAGAGCAGAGGCCCCTGTCTTGCTCCTGATCTCGGGGGTGGCTCTCGGCCTTTCCCTGCTGAGTGTGATGCCAGCTGTGTTCTGAAGCATCACATTTCCAGAGCGAAGTCCCCTTACTCCTGATTGTCCCTTTGTCATGAAGGATCGTATTTTATCAAATGCTTTTTGTTTCACTGCCAAACGCTTTTTCTCATTCTCAAGATGGTGAAATGGTCTTGCCCCGTTCTCCTGATCAGGCTGGGGCCTCCCGGATGCCTCGTGGGTGACACTCTTGCACTCCTGCCATAGGATGGGTCCTCTCCTTGTGCTGCTGGGTCTGTCCGCTGGTGTGGTGCATCTGGATTCTTAGGGGACGTTGGTTTGTCATGTTTCTTGTGACATCCTTGGTATCAGGGTCTTGCTGGCCTCCCAGAACGTGGTGGGAAGTGCCTCTCTCCTGTACTTTGGAAGTTGCGGGGACCGGTCATCATCACTCCAGCCCTGGTTGGGGTTCACCAGCAACACCGTGGCCCTCGGCTTTGTGAGACTCCTTAGCTGGTGGTGACCTGAGTCCGTGGAGCAGCTCACTCTGCCCAGGAGCCGTCCTGCGCCTGGTGACCTGTGCTGGGCGGGACTGCTGCTGCTCACGTCTCCCTGCGCCCAGTGCTTGGATTCTCTCCCCTGCTCTCGCCCCTTCCTCCCTCCTTCTCCCTTGGTCAGTCTGGCTAAAGGTTCATGACTTTGTTGTTCATTCAAAGAAATGACCACTGGTTCTGTTGATCGTTGACTTTTCCGTGCTTTATTCCGCTGATCTCTACTTCGACCGGCACCATCTCCTCTGAGTGCTTTGGCTCTAGTTCACTGGGTGTGTTTCCTGAGACAGAAGAGTCGCTTCCTGGCTGCAGCCCTCAGTTTCAGTGTCTACCTGGGCTCTCATGTGAGCACTCCTGGATGCTGTGTTCCTGCACTCCTGTTCCTTTTCGCAGTCCTGGTGGCAAGCGCTCTCCCACAGTGCTGTGCCCCAGCCCTTTCTAAAATCTAATTTTAAAAAAGATGAGAAGACTTTAAAGCACCCTGAATTCATTTCCTAGTACCCAAAAATAAATAAACCTAGAACCTGGGTCCTCTTGTTTTTTCTGCTTCAGAGGGTGAGAGGGTAACCTGGTAAGCAGGTAACTGGGTAGCCAGGTAACCGGGTCACCACTGCTTCTGCCTTCACAGAGCCCACAGGTGGGGTCGCGGTCTCTGCTCCCAAGTTGCTGTGTCAGTCTTGCTCAGCCCCTCGGACCTCCCTTTCCTGCCAGCCTCGCCTCCTCCCACGGTCCTCTCCCGAGGCTGCCCAGTGCTGCAGCTCACACCTCCATCCCACAGGGGCCAGCCCCGGGCCCAGCACGGCCAGCAGCGGGGTCCAGCCATGCCCGGGCTCTGGCACTCACTGCGTCCTGTGGACTGCAGGCCCTCGGCTGGGCCTGGCGCCCTGCAGGTGCCTCTGCCGTGCCCCCCTGCCGTGCCCCCCTGCCATGCCCCCCCTGCCATGCCCCCCCTGCTATGCCCTCTCTGCCGTGGAGGGCAGGTGTGCCAGCTGTGAGGCTGCTCCATGTCTGTCTCCCCGTCACTTCTGGGAACTCATTCTGTGAGCGTAGGGCCCTGTTGACAGTCATTTCCCCAGCCCCAGGGCGCTCCTCCCTGGGGTCACCTTGAGAGGTGGCCCCTAGAGCTTCCTTGGGTGCACAGCTGCTCTTCTTGTGCTTGAGACTCTCTTGGCTCCTGGCTCGGGACAGTGGCCACAGGTCCAGGGAATCCACATGCTTCTTGGATGTGCGGGCCGTTCTTGCCCACCAGGTGTGCAGGTGGGCCCTGTGTCTGTCTGCAGGCGTCCCCTGCGCCTCTCCTCTCTGGCGCCTACCGTCCTCACTCTGTGGCTCCCGCAGGGGACAGACTCTTCCTCTTGCCAACAGGCTGCAGGTGGGCTGCTCGTGGCCCGTCTGCCCAGAGCCTCACTCAGCCTCTGTGAGCTCCCCTCCTCGAGGTTCTCTGTCCCTCCAGTGCCCAGTCTTGGGCCTGGCACCCCATAGTGCGGCCCTTCCCAAGCTGCTGACAGCACTGGGCACCAGGACTTCCCCAGGAGGACTGCTGTCCCCTGTTTCTGGGTGGCTCTGTGTTGTTGAAATGTTGAAATACCCTGGTGTGTGAATGGGGGGCAGCCGGCTCCAGCCTCCTGCTGCCTGTTTGGCTGACTTCAGCATCCTCCCTACTCGTTCTGTGAAGTGTGGATGCTGTGGGATCTGCCCCGAGGCCTCCGCACCCTCCCTCAGCCTCCTACCTGCAGCACCACAGTGACAGCAGGACAAGTGCAAAGCCACATGTGTGTCCACAGTGACACCCACACCTCAGCAGAGTCAGCCGTCCAGCGCCACTGTGGACACCCCTTCCTCAGCTGTGCCTTTAGGCTCTGGACAGCACAGCTGTCGCTTCCAGGGCCCTGTCTCAGCTGCTGGAGTCGGGCGGTCAGGCAGCCCCTGAGTGGGCTTGTCCAGGCAGCAGCAGGCCGGCCAGTGTGCACTCCCCAGGGGGCTTTGAGGAGCTCCAGACCCGACCCCCTCCCAGGGCTGCTGCAGCCCGCACTGCGGGAGGCCGCTCCCCTGAAGGCTGCTACAGGCTGGTCAGGGAACTGTGCGAGTTCAGTCACACAAAGCTCCTCTACCAAGACCCGTCCCTGGCAGGCGCGTGGTGTGCCTCGTACCTCGCAGTGCTGAGCGCTCTTTCTTGAACAGGCCTTCTTGGGATTATTGCAAGCCTTGTTTTAAATTTCCAGCTTTGATTTGGGTGGTTATTCTAATGGTTCTGGGTTGTAGGAGCTCTTACTCTGCTTTCCAGAAGGGCTTCCCCAGGGACACAGTTGTGAGGACAGGTGCACTGCCCTCCACAGGACAGCCTGAGGCTGGGTCCAGCCTCTTTCTGTCCTGCGGGGTCCTGTGTATGTCCTGGTGTGCAGGCATGCATGCATTGGATATGGGGCTCCAAAGTCAAGGGGTAGGAGAGTGTCATTTTGACTGCGAGGTGTCTGCCTGCTCGCCCTCAGTAATGCTGACTGCTGGCTTCTCAAACCATCACCTCTCCTGTGCATCAGCCTCGTCGTTTTAATCCACATTTCCCTTGGTGTGAGCAGCGGGGCCGTGTCCACGTGTTCCAGGATTGGTTGTGAGCGTGTGTCTAGGTCTCTACCTGGTGCTGCTTTGGCTGGCGGAGCCCACCCAGTGGTACGAGGCTCCCTCCAGCAGGACAAGGGCTCTGGACCTGGGCCTCAGTGCCCTGGGCTCTGCTGAGGCTGCCCCGCTGTGGGGGACTCCCAGCCCCTGTGGCTCTGGACTGAGAATGCCCTCCCCACCCTGAAGTCACTCTCCCATTTTTCTCCGGGGACTCTGGGGGTTTGTTTTCACATTCAAATTGCTGATCCATAAAATGCGAGCCAGGAGATCAGCCCCTTACTGCAAACAGCTTTCCAGTTCCTGGAGCTGCAGGTGGATGACCTCGCGCTGCCGGCGGGTTTGGGGTGCTGCTCACAGCGTGCCGTGGGCCAGTGGGCCATCTCTGGCCTCTGTGTCCACCGGTGGCTGTCACCATGCCAGTGCATGGGACGTGTTTGGTGGAGACCCTGGTACCCATGTCTCGAGGTGGAGTAGGAAATGAGGCATCAGAAGACTTCATTCAGAAGCCACCGCCCGCCCTGGTGCTGTCCGCGCACCGTCCACCCGAGCAGCTGTGTGGGCGGAGCAAGGAGGGGAGGGGAGGGTGGCTGGGCCCGGGATGTGCCTGGACAGCATCCCCTCTGCGCCCAGGCCCTGTACGGGGGGCCAGCCTCCAGGACACTGCAGGACCTGTCAGTCCTTACGCCCTCCTGGAGGGGCCAAGGGACGTAGGTCCCAGGGCCGGGAGTCTCCTCTTCCTGCCGGCCAGACTTGCGGGTCCTCTTGGGCAGTACCAGGGCAACCTTGAGGGACGCACGCCCACGTTCTTCTCCTCGTACTGGGGATCGGCCAGGGCTCTCCCACTGAGCCACTTCCCCGCTCCTTTTTTAAAATCTTTGAATTTTGAGTCAGCTCTTGCTAAGTTATGGAGCCTGGCCTCGAACTTGCCACCCTCCTGCCTCAGCTTCATCACAGGTGTGCACCACCGTGCCTGGCTGGCACTGCCCACTCCCCGGTGATGAGGGAAGGGGAAGGGGGAGCCAGGGCCAGGGGGTCCCTGCAGAGCTCTGGGGTAGCAGGGTCAGGTGGGGCTCTTGGGGACTAGGCAGCAGGGGAGGCTGAACTGTGCCTCCTGCAGAGGTGGCGGGGCAGGTTTCAGGCCACACCTGTCATGGGACTCAGTGCTGGGGAGGCCACGGGGTGCTGCTCTGGGCTGAGAAAAGGGCAGCAGAGGGTAGGTGTAAGGGGTGGCCGCAGGGAGGATGGGAGGGCGTGGGTCATGGCCTCAGAGCTAGGGTGGACGGCCATAAGGGAAATGGGATGTTAGGGTCAGGGTTAACTGCACAGAACTGAAAACTAAGTAATTAGCTTGTAAACCCAAAGGATTTCACGTGTTCTGTCAATCAAGAGTCCAAAGGTAGATCCCTAAGCTGAGGGAGAGGAGTTCTCGGAGTACCCTCGGGGCTTATCTCATTCTTGTTGCTGGCTCAGCATCCAAGCATGAGGCCTCCATCCTCAAGGCTACCTCACATCCCAAAGTAGCTGCTGGGGCTCCAGGTATCACAGGATCTACAGAAGGAATGAGGGGGTACATCTGCCTGCTGAGACATTTCCTATGAGTTAGTTGTCTGGGACTTCTCTTGCCCAACACACTCTGCTCATGTCACCTTGGCCAGAACCTACTCACATGCAGGGTCCAGCTGCTGCCTGCCCAGGAAGTGGGAATTAGTCCTTTTCCCAGGAGATGGGTAACCAACTGTGGTTGTCCCTTGTTTGCCAGGAAGAGAACAGGTGAGCATGCAGGAGAGCTGCCTCCAAAGGTGGGTCCCATGCAGGATTGTCTGGGAGGAGTTGGGGGGGATACCCAGGCTGGTCACTTGTGGGTTACAGGGTCCTGAAGTGGCCCCTCCCCTCACAGGTCAGCTCTGCATCCCTGGGCTGGTCTTCCTGCCACCAGCTCCTCCGCTGCTGCAGCCTGCGCTCTCACACAGCCTGCGCAAGGGGCTGCACCCTGGGAACAGCTGGCTGGAACAGGCCTGCTGGGGGCCAGGAGGCACACCGACACCAGGAAGACATGGAGGGGGCGCCACCAAGTGGCCAGGGATGTCCCCAGGCAAAGGACAGGCAGTTGGTGCCAGGGACAGCTGGGGGTAGGGCTGGGTCCTGGATGTTTCTGGGGTGGGGAGGAAAGAGGGTGGAAGGGGCTTGGCTCTGCTTCTTCCTAAGGCTGCTGGCCCTGAGAGACACCAGGAGCAGGGGATGGACCAGGCGGGTTGCTGGGGCCTAGGGAGTGGCACTCTGGAGCTGCAGGGAAGGGCTGGGACCCGGGAGGAAGAGAGACACTGGGGCGAGGGCCAGCAGGAGACTGGCGGCCTGTAGGGTCAGGCTGTGGGTTTGGGCTGGGGCCAGAGTGGCCCAGGAAACTCTACCCGCCTCCCTGGTCCCCGCTCATTCAGGGCAGCCATGACCAAGCGCTGGCCAGTAAGGTGGGAGCAGCTGTGTTGTGTGGTTTTGGGGAAGGTGCCTTGAAAGGAAGGGGTGTCCTCTGTCTGTGGTGCCTGTGGCTGGGTGGGATGCGGTGGCTGGACTCCCACTCCCGTGGGGGCTGTGGGCTGAGGACCTAGTCCAGTTGGTGCCACAGAGCCCTGGAGGGAGTGCGGTCTGGTAGCTGTGAAGGTGTGGCCGGGCCCAGGCCTGTCCCTGTTATCCCCTCACACACAAGGAGGCCAGCGTCCTCCTCCACTCCACTCAGCCCCTCGCAGGGCTGTGGGCCAGGCAGGAGGGTGGGAAGCAGTGAGCGCTCTCCTGTCCAGGCTGAGTGGACCCTGGGCAGGACGGGGTGGAGGCCTCCCCCTGCCTCAGGTGAGCTGTGCCTATCCGGGTCCCTACCTGCAGGGCGGGGCCTTGCTCACTGACAGGAGGCCCTGTGCAGAGGGTACAAGTCCAGGGCAGAGGTGTCAAGGTGTCGTGGGCAGCTGGCCCTGAGTCCCAGGAAGGACCTCCTGCAGGGCCATGGCCGCCTCTGCCTCTAGCAGGGCTCCTGGGGCTAGACCAGTCATGCACCCAAGGACCAACTGAGAACTGGGCAGAGCCAGGTGGTGGCCAACTTGTAGGCTCCGAGGGAAGTAGCCAGAGGAACCAGTTCCATGGGGACCTGGGGACCTGGTGGCACAGACGGAGAAGCTGAGGCTGGAGGGGCCTGGCATGGCATCTCCAGGAGGGAGCGGGGGTACCCAGCAAACCCCTAACCTCCTGGGCCTCAGCCCCTCAGGTGTGTGTGCAGGTGGCCACAGCACGGTCACTGTAGGGTTTCAGGGAGGCTCGGGTGGGCAGACACAGGTCTGGCCAGGATTAGGGCTTCAGGAACAGTGGGTGTGCATCAGAGCAAGCCTGGGAGGCAGCCCCCAGGTGACTGCAGGAGGCTGACGGGGCAGGAGCTGCTGGTGCACGGTGGGCACATGTCTGCCAAAGCTTCCTGGCTCTGAGCCAACACCCTCCACCCCCTCCCACAGCCTAGGGCTTCCGGAGAGCCCAGAGGGGTGGCCACCATGCTTGGGGCTGAACCTTGACAGATTAACTGTATGTGCTGTTGGACCCGCATGACCAGCAGGGACAGTGGGGAAGAGGCCAGGGAGGGCACAGCCAGGGCTTCCATTTACATTTCATCTGGGTCTGATGCTGCTCCACCTCCAGGAATGTTTGCACCAGTCCACCTGCAAGCAGGTGCGGGGAGAGCAGGAAGGGCCAGCAATGCAGATGGAGCTGGACCACAGCTTGCGTCAGCCTCTCATCCTTCTGCGTGCTGCAAGTCCTGGGGTGTCCCAGCAGGTTCCAGCTGAGCTCAGCAAGGCTGGAAGAGGGGGGTGGGTGGCAAAAAGGGAGTGAACCATCTTCCTTCCAGGTGGGGGCTGCTGGGCGTGGAGAAGTGGCCGCTGTGCCTGACCTGCAGTTCTGCTGATTTGAGTCGAGGCCAAGAGCCTTCTGGAACTCCCTGCAAGGGCCCCCCCGCCACGTCTCACCCCAGGGGCCTCCGCTGTGAGGCTAGCAGCCTTCCCGTTACATTTGGACAAATGCAGACCATCTGTAGGCTGGGCTCACTGGTCAGCACAATGCATGTACTGAGGCCATCCTCAGCTCTGAAGCCAGCAACAGCCTGGTCTTGCCGGAGCCTCCCCGGCTGATGAGCCTCAGAGCAGGATGGCCAGGAAGCCTACACAGGCCTGCAGTGCCCGGGCAGCCAGCCCCAGAACACAGGGGCTGGGAGGAGGACCGAGGCTGGGGGCCCCCAGAGGGGGTTCTGCCCCCACCCGCCCAGGGTTGTGCTGTCCTTGACTGTCATTTGCCTACTGGTGACCCCAGAATGGAGTAGGAGCACTCCTCTGTCTCCTGTAGTGTGGCAGTCGCTGCCTCTCTCCCCCAACTGCAGCCTTGTCCCCAATGACAATGACAGGTGGTGATTTTAGCCCAGCTTGGAGTGCCCTCTGAGAGGCCATTAGCTCATCACCAACCTAGGGAGCCACAGAGGAGTCGGGATCCCTGCACACCTGGAGAAGGAACTCTGGCCCCACCCCTACTAAGCTCCCAGAAGAGTCCCTGCCAGGTCGCTGCTCTTCTATTGTGTCAGGACACATCTTGGCAGGATCTGCTGCCGCTGGCTCAAAGTGAGCCCTGGCTCCCAGGTTCCAGGAGCCTGCAGGGGGACCTGCAGCATTGATGGAGAAGAGTGGCGCTGGCGGCAACACCTCCTCTAGACCAGCTCCTTGGGCCAGTAGCTCAACCTCCCAAACCCTTGTCCTTCTCTGGGGAGCGGACAGGAGCACCCTGGCTCCTGGTCACCGCATAAGAACACCTGATGGGGCCTTGCTCCCGCCAGGGTGGTGGGGCTGAACGGGGAGAGGGGAGGAGGAGGACTACAGGTGGTGAGAGGAGCCTGAGGCTGCTGGGACCAGGCAAGGAAGGTACCATTCTCACTGGGAGAGGACTCAGGAAGGGGACTCATTTGGAGCACCAGGCCAGCCTCTGCACCTCAGCTCCAAGCAAAAGGGGTGCTCAGGGGCTCGAAGCCCTGACTGCGGGATACTAGGCTCCAAACCCCACAGGGTGCAAAGGGGGCTCTCAGGGCGGCCTGGGGCCAGGGATCCAGAGGACCTGACACGGGGCAGCGTGGGAGCCTGTGAGTCGTGTGCACGGCCTCCTGGGTTTATTGAGCAAAGTTCATGAAAGTGCTTCTGCGGCGAGAGCCGCCTGCCTGGCCCCACCCACGGTCACTTATAAATTTAAAACTCTTCTGTAGGAACTGGCTATGTACAGAGCCAAACGACTGAAACCTTAGAAAAGAGCCCAGGGTCCTGCGGCCGTAGGCCTGGGGAGTGAGGCCGCCTGAGCCGAGCCCCCCAAGTCCCCGCGTCCGTCCTGGCGCCTCGGCTCAGAGGTGCGGCGCGTAGAAGGCGGGCGCGCCGTAGGTCTGCGAGCCCAGCACGAAGGGCGAGAGCACCGCCGGGCTCGAAAGGAAGGGCAGCTGCGCGGCGCACACCAGTCCGCCCGGGCCGTGCGCGGGGTACCCGGCGGGGCCGTGCATGGCGAGCGGTGCGCCCATAGGCGGCGAGGGGCTGAGAGGGCTGAGGCCGCCAGGAAGCCCCGCGCCCGGCCCGGCGCCGGGTCCCGGGCCCCCGCCGCCGCCGGTCGGCGCGCTAGTGTCGGCGCCCGGGTTTTGCTTCTTCCACTTGGTTCGCCGGTTCTGGAACCAGATCTTCACTTGCGTCTCGGTGAGGCTGAGGGACAGCGCCAGGTTGAGGCGCTCGCACACGGACAGGTAGCGCGTCGCCTTGAACTTGTTCTCCAGCGCCACAAGCTGCTCGTAGGTGAAGGCGGTGCGCGCGCGCCGCGGTTTCCCCGACTTGGAGTCGGAGCCCGTGCGCTTCCGCTTGGGCTTGGTCGCCGCCGCCGCGCCCTGCGGAGTGGTCCCAGTGACCCCCGCCGCCGTCGCGGCTCCCGGC